AAGCCCTTCCTTTAATATGGAGGATAAGCCGAGGGACCTCGGGTAAATCCGATAAAAGCGGGTAGAATAAGGGGAAGCCCTCCTTTTAATAGGGAGGATAAGCTGAGTGGTTCCACGATAAATCTATAGCTTATAATTAGTTATTTCTCGAGCGACACGGCGGAGGCTAGGGTATACCCCCTAAGCCTTAGAATACGTGGTCTTAGGCACGGATACTGGTTCTACGCTTTTCCTTTTAGGGTTATTACGCCCTTAGCCTCGGATATTCTCGGTATATTAAGCTAGTCGGATAAAGGTAAGCCGCGCTAAAAGGAAAATATTCTCCACGAAGTGCGGGTAAAGGGAAGATTACGGTAAGGGGAGGCTGGCTCCCCTTATACTCCGCGGGAAAAGGGGGGGGGGGTTATTAAGTGGCTCGGTGCCATAGTGAAAAAAAAGGGGAGGGGAAAATTATCGAGTAGCTCGGGGCCACGGTAAAAGGGGGGGGAAGGTTAGTACGCCCCGTGGTTCTTTTACCGGAGCTCGGGTTCTACGGAGGACGCTAGTGTGCAGGATAGTAGTCGCTATCCTACGCCCTTAGCGATCATTAGAACGGTTATCACTAGCGATTATTAGGAAGATTAGTATTATGTTAGAGCTGGGGATCTATAGTGGGTGCTGGTGCAGGTTAGTATAGGCGCTATTCCTGCGCCTAACTGGCGACTATAGAATCCTTGGTGTACTACACGCCTGGACCTAGTAAAGGGGAGGCGATTAGGTTAGTACTCCGTGTTTCTGTCGGGACTCTGGTTCCACGGAGGACGCTAATGTGTAGGATAGTATAGGCGCTATCCTGCGCCCTTTAGCGATTATTGAGAACGGTTAGTGTCGGTGCAGGTTAGTATAGTCGCCTGCGCCAACTAGTGATCGTTAGGAAGGTTATCGCGGTATCGAAGCTCGGGTTCTATAGCTAGTATAGGTTAGTATAGTCGCTATTCCTACGCTTAACGGTGGTTCCCTTTATTACTCCACGCCTAGACCTATTAAAGGGGAGGCGTCTTCGCCTGGTACGCTAGCGGTCGTCTAGTTCCGCCGGTTACTGCGTGTCTGTTTAGTCTTAGTATACGTAGTTCGCGACGGCGACCGCTAGTTTACTACGTGTCTATTTAGTCTTAGTATACGTAGTCCGCGCCGAGCGGCTGCGCCTAGCACGCCAGCGTTCGCTAGTAAACCATATACCTATTTAGTTTCAGTACACGGAGTTCGCGACCGCTAGTATACTACGTGCCTATTTAGTCTTAGCACACGTAGTCCGCGCCGGGCGGCGGTATACGAACCTTACCTAAAAGCTTAGTTACTACTATTTAATATGCCCTATTCGGGCACGACTCTGGCTAGCCAGCACTATAGAACCTAGACGAATCTAGGATTTAATATGCCCTATCCGGACACGACTCTGGCCAGCTAGCACTATCGGACCTAGGGAACCCAGGATTTAAAGGGTGACCTTTACTACAGTAAAAGAGGTGTAATAAAGATATCTTCGTCTAACTAAGGGGGCGCGCCCCCGGGACTTAAGTATTCCACGGGTAAACCCCGTGGAATCCTCGGCTCCTATGTATAGGAACCCGGGGGATTCCCCGGTATTCACTAATTATACCCTAGGGAAGCTATCGTGTACCCTAAAGGTACCTATGGCGTACCCTGTGGGTGCTATAGTATAAGCTATAGTACCACTAGGGTACCCCGTGGTACGCCCTGGTATTCCCGGTTGAATCTGGGGCGTATTAGGGGGGGAGAAGAATTTCCGGCTAAGGACTTCGGCCTTCTCTGCGTGTATAGTTACCGGGTAGTCGCTATTCTCTCGGTATAGTGGTAGTACCGATAAGGGGTCTGGTAATACGTCCCTTTTAGTTTATGCCTATTTCTATAGCCGCTAGAGAAGACTATCGTCCTTCCTGGTCGAGTAGAGTAAGTGCCGCTAGTATAACCGCTTCGCTACCGCCACGGCCTTATCTCGGCACCTTTCCGCTTCCTAGAAGTCGTCCTATCGGTTCCGGGACTTCCTGGATATATATCTACGGTAGAGGCGCCTTATTTCCTAGGTAAGGGCGGTTAGCTTAGCATTCTATTAGGGGGTAGATAGGCGTCCGGGGGTGCCCTTATAGCGGCGCGGCACGGCCTTATCGGCTATAGTTATAAGGTCTTTTATTAGGTTATTAAGTGCTAAGTCGATATTCTATAGTGATATAAGGGGGCTAGTCTACTATAGCCGCGTAGCGGTAAGCTAAGGGATCTATAAGGGGTCGAAGTCTTTCGTCTTTCTAGACTTAACGGGGCCCGGCTAAGTCCCGCGGTAGTATTATCGTGGTAGTCGATAAGGTGTCCGTCTCTATAAGGATTCAGGCTATCTATAAGTAGTGGTTAGACCCGATAACGGTTTTATCCGGGCCGCCGAAGTCGTAGCGGAGCCTTTACGTTACTTATATAAGGTTGATAGTATTAGTATACCTGCCCGGGCAGTGCTATATAGTTATTCCGCGGGGGGTTACTAGGTTTAGGTTTTACCGGGTCGCTAGGGTAAATAGGGTATCGGCTCAGGGGTAGTACTGTGGTGGCTATAATTATAGGGGGTAGTATAGGTTAAAGTCCCCTATAAGGACGTATCGGCCTTATAGCGGTGCCGTGTCGAATATATCTTATAGGGGCGTATTCTAAGGGATCCTAGCTAACTAGTAGTTCTCTAAGTAGATTAACTAGATTATAAGGGTATCGTCTTTAGTCCTGAATATAACCGTATAGGTATCGCGGTAGGCCCGCTACGTCTATATATATAGCGGGTATCTCTTATAAATATATAGGAGGGCACGGCCTCCTTCCTAGATTAGCCGGTATACCCCTTAGGAGGGGCTTACGGGGCTTTTCGTGAAACGGTTAAGGCCGGGTTCCTAAATTACTATTATATCGTACTCGGCGTGGTACCGGAGCGGTAGCTCCCGCCGCGCCTAACTCCTCCCTATATTCTACGAAAGGACGTGGATTTCTATTAGTTAAAGGGGGGGGAGGGCTAAGATAACGTACCCAGTATAATCGGGGTCTAGCTCTAGGATTCCTACTACGGTGCCTTACCGGCCCCGCGGGGGATTATATAAGCGCTTATCGGGCCTAGTATCGGGGAGTCTTCCTATCCCCTAGTCCTTTTCGGGGGCTAACCCCTACCTTTACGGAGGGGTTAGTCCTAGTCTTAGGCGATAATAATAAGGGGGAAAATCTGCGGCTACCGCGGGTATACCGTTTCGGTCTAGCGGGTAATATCGAAGTCCCTAGCTTAGTACTTATACGCTTCGCGGGTCTTCTCGGCCTCTTTCTTTAATAGCCGGTATGAATCGTTAAAGGTATCGTAGTCTCCGGTATAGGCGGTATAGCGGCGGGGGCGCCTTAACGCTATAGCTTCGTAATATCCTAGGCTCTATAGGTACGCCGATTCGGGCTTAGCGTAGTAACGGTATACCCTCTCCGCTATAGGGTAGCCGTTTACTTAGTGGCCGAAGTATAGGCACTTATAGCACCTTAGGGGGCTTAGGTTAGGGTTATATAGTTTATAGATATAGCTACCCCCTTTAAAGAGGAGGGTATTCCGGATAAGGCTCGCCGCCCTTTCCAGCGAAGCCGATTCGATAAGGAGGAGCGCTACCCTACTAGTACCACGGCGGGGTACCTATTATTAAGCTCGGATAATTTTTACCTCGGGGTTTATATCCTGTATAGATACTAGCAGATCTTCTTCGGATAGGGCGTTAAGGACCTCCCGGGGGATAGCCTTAGCTAGTATAGGGTAGGTGCGTACGGCTAGGGTAGCTCCTTTACTAAAGGTCTTCTTAATCTATTATTTCTTATAGGTAGCCCATTACTATACCCCTTTAGTAAAGGTAAGGTAGATATCCCCGCTTAATAGCTTCCGTGCCGTTATAGTATCGTGTCGGGTAGTTATAGCGTTTATAGCTTAGATAATCTCCTTTAGGGTCCTATCTTTAAGGGGCTAGTCTTCGGGGAGGGTTCCTTAGCGGATAATTAGTTCTTAGTAGTACTTAGCGGGGATTACTTTAGGGGGGACGGGGTCCCGCGGCGGTACCGCCACGGGAGCCTAGGCTATAATATTAGCCTAAGTCTCTTTTATACCGCTTATTCCTTTTCGGAGTTCCTCTCGGATAACGTGGCGAACAGTAGTGTATAGGTAAGCTAGTGGTATCGCGCTAGCGTCCTTACGGGTAATACGTATCGTGATTAGTTTCTTTACTAGCTCTATAACCTGCTTAATCGTATTCCCGTTGGCTAGTAAGACCTAAATTTCTGCCTTAATCTTAGTTACTTTTAGTTCCGGAGGACGCAGTAGTCCCCTTTTAGTCTCTTATCGGTTCCGCGCTATATCCCGCCACGGGCGAGGGGGGGAGCGCTTATATTACGAAAAGTGGGTCCGTTATAAATTCTGCGTAGACTAGATCGGGCCACTATCCCACGTCTTTTCTGGCTATACCGTAGCGTCGGCGTTATAGTGCCGCTACGATAGTATCCCGGGAGGGAGGCGGTGGTTATAATCTCCGTCTTAGTGGTTTTATCGATTTTACTCCTATTACGCGCCCGTGGTTAATAGGCGCTGTGTGATTATATATAAATCTATATATAAATAATGACGTTATAGGCGTTAGGAGTCGAGTTTTTTTTAAAAACCAGAGATAGGTTAATAAGCTATAGGAGGCGTGATAATAAGCACGACGAGACGTTTGCATTAATACCAACTATACTCGCTATATCACGTGATTTCATCTCGACTTATTTCTCCCGCTTCCTCTCGACTAACCAACCAGAACTCCACATACGCCTAGCAACACACTAAGAACCTATTCCTATCCCAACCAGGTACCACTATCATTACCCAATCATAGCAAAGCAATTCCAACCTTCATGTCGGCCACATGAGCCTCCAGAGAGGGACGTTCATGGGACACCAAAGGGACGACAACCTAGATGCCGTTGCAGGCGTTGCTGAGCAGGTTGATCTGGCCAGGCGTGTTCTGGGTGTACCGCGAGTTGAACTTCATGACCGACTTGGAGCGACGGAAGGTGTCAACATCGATGTAAATGGGGTTCTTGACAACGTTCCATGCGATATCCTGGGTGCAGGGCGGGGTGGTCAGAGAGCCGCTGTACTGGAAGATCTCAGACGACTGGATGTGAGCCTCGAGTTCGCCAAAGTCAAGAGGACCCGTGTGCGTCTCGTCGCCCGGGATCGCGATATCTTCGAGATTCTCGAACACGTCGATCAGCAGCGACGACGCTTCTTCATCCGTGCCGATCTCGATGAGGACGCCGACAACGGCAAGGGCTCCGTCTGTGCGTGGTGGGATTATGGGTCAGTTTTATGTGTGGGTCATGAGTGGACATGAAGATGAAACGACGTCAATCCACCCAGGTTGTATCGATGATTAATGCGCCTTATCCGAGGCTGGGAGGAAGAACAAAACGCGCAGCGCAAGACGGATGTGAAGGGGAGGGGGTGGAAGCGCTCACCAGAGGCCTGGAAGACGAAATGCACCTCCTCGGGATAGTACTCGCTATCGATGCGGTGCTCGCTGGGGGTGTGGAAGTGGAACTGGACCAGGTTGTACGTCTTGTTCCTCAGGTTGATGGTGCCGGTGGCCTCGGCCTCGACTGTGCTGCCCAGGTTGAAAAACTCGGCGCCGTTGGGGTGGTCGTCGAGTTGGAAGTGCAGGGAGCTGCCGCAGGCCTTGTCGATAGTTGCCGACTCGATGTTGATGGGGCTCTGGTTTTCGCCAACGGCGCAGTCGAGGTTGTCCTCGTGCAGGGCGTGCCAGTTGAGGGGACCCTCAAGCCCGTTGAAGCCGAAAACGGCCACATCGACACTCAGTGCCTGGCTGCGAGGGAAGAGACTCGTCCCGTGGGCACAATTGGCCGCGGCCAAGGGGGCCAGGGCTGATAGAGCGAGGATGCACTTATACATGTTGGAGAATGAGACGGTATATTCGGCTCGGGAAGAAGAAAGTTGGATAATGGTTGTGCCGGTGGTTCAAGCCTCTCGAATGAGAAATCACTGGCCGGGGGTGTAGGAGTGGTGACAAGGCTGTATAACGATGGATGGATAGTTGGTGCAACCCGAACTTCTTATATAGTTTTCACTGCAACGGGAGAAAGGAAAGCAATGGCTTGAGTTAACAGAGTAGGCCACGCCCGGGTTATGCTGTGCGATGCCGAAATGCTGGCTGAGGGCTGTGGATCATTAACATGGGTCTTAAACCCCGGAGTTGACGGAGGGGTGCGGGAGGGTTGTGAATAATGACCCTAGGAGGGCTGAGGGCGAAGGGACGAAGTGAAGCTGTTGTCGGCCAAGGTAGGTCTGGCCTCGAGAAGGAACCAGGAACGCGCAGAGGGAGGACCCGCGCTAGGTTCAGGTTCGGTTCTGACTTGATATTCCGATACGTCGGATTCCATTCATGTTGAGAGTGCAGATTCCTTCGTCCATTGCGCTTTGTCACGCTCGTCACGCTGAGGCGGGCAAGAGGGGCAAAGTGGATTCTCCAACACAACCAAAGATAGGGGCTTAGTGAAGATCCGAAGACCGTCTGGGTAACGGGAAGGGAAATAGGCCTGCTTCAATGACGTCTGAGGACTTCCTTCCCAGGTGCCTGGAAAAGACGGGGTGTGCGGGAAATACGCGAGTGCGTTGCACGGCCGACCTTGTGTGGAGGGGTGTGATTGTGTCCTGCGCTGCACCTTTCCGCTCTTTCTTTTAGTCCGTTGCGGACCAGGGCGGGAAATTTAATGGCTTTCTTGACAATATTGGTTTCCTGGCCTTCAAGCTCTTTGACACCAGTAGGAGGGCAAACGGAAAATGAAACTGCAGTCAGCATGCGGCTAAAGACAGAAGCTGCCTGGGTACCCAAGTCTGCCGAGGATGCCGGATTATTCAGCCAGACAGACGCCTTGCCTCGTCCAGTCGCATGGCCGATGATGCCTGGGGGATCTCCATGATGATTGGCGATGATTGGCATGTTAGTGGTCGATCTGCGCTGTAGGAAGGCGCAAGATTGAAACAGACCAACGAAGAAAAGCATTTGACAAGAGACGCAACAGACACCTTGGCTTGATTCCGGGAGAAGAATCAACAAGTCAAGACAGACCGTCGACTTGAAGAAGGCGACGAGGGAGGAAGAAGTGGGCATCACGCGCAGTCGCAGCGCACATGAACGTCAAACCACACACCCCCGCCAACCATCACGAGCAGGTAGAAGAAGCAAGCAGGGTGATTGTTGTACCAATAAGTTCGTCAACTGGAAACTAATTACCCGAACAGCGAGACCCCCCCAAATTCCTTTAGCACTCTGATTTGCTTAGGCCGGGCATCGCTCAGCAAATGTTGTCATAATTATAATCTGTCGGCCTTATCAGGAAAACGCCGATGATGAATAGAGTAGAGGTGGGTGAGCCTACCGAGCGGGTCATCATGAGCGTTTTCGCTTATGCTTGCTTTTCTTTTTATTTTCTTTTTCGGCCAGGCTCCCATCTTTCCTCCTGTCGAGGTGCAAAACGCCCAGTTCGTTCAACTGGGTATTATAGTCGACCAAAGCGGCTCTTCGGTGACCGGGGATGGAATAGAAGCGAAGAGGAGAGACGAGGTTTATGGACGAACATAGAACTAGTTGGTCAGTGTGTAGTCCTTGATGACAACGAATGAGGCTACCTGCTCATTTAGCAGGGGTCCCGATGAAACCAGTTCTGTTATCATAGGTAAGTAAGGTATCTTTTTTTCCGTCACTTCCACCGAAGTTCTTTTGATACTGCCGGTGCGGTGTGCTGATGCTAACCCCCCACTCTTAGGCGTACAGAGGAGTCAATACCCGTCCAGTAACCTTGTCACTAGGCTAGCCAGAAGAGGTCGAGGCCTGCGAGGGGCACCTACAGAAGGATGGCAGTAATTCCATTTTACCCCGAATTGGAAGGCCGTTTTGTCCGTTTTGATGAGCCAGGTTCGTCTGATGCAGTCGACCTAACTTCATGCAGACTGGATGGAGTGCACTTTGGCTCTCGATCCAACGAGTGGGACGGGCGGGATGGCCCGGATGAAACCTGACGGCCATTTAGAGGTGTTCGGTTCCAATGAGAGCACAGCCGATTTGACGGAGTCATCCGGGGATTGCATCTACATGGCGTTGTGGCTTACGGTGGCACCGCATCGCCTTACGGATAATAAGGGTTCTGCTCTTCTGCTCTTCGTCAATTCACTTCGCCGTTCTGCCGGAAACGGCGCCTGATGCGCTGGCGGCTGACTGTGATGTGACAAATCACAGGACAAGAGCACCTAGCGAGATCACGGCAAAGCCACCCATCCTGCTACCTATGTGCCTGCATTTTCCCACCGAACTACACGTAGGTTCAGCGACCAGGCACAGGCAGGCAGTAGAACGTGGAGACGCCAAGCCAACGGGGCTTGTCTTACCGCAAGACGAAGGACCGGCACTCACATTTGCGCATGCTTGACCCCCTCTTGAAAAAGCTTGACCCTCCTTGGAAAAGCTTGAGAATGATCCCCGCCCCTATGCTGACCGCATCTCGGCGTCAGGCTAGCAAAGACCTCGTCACCTACACCAAGCAAGCATTGCTCGGGTCCGGCCTCTTCAGGCTCACATCCTTGCCACCCGCTTTCTCGGTTCAACTTTCTTCTCTGGGACTGGGCTCTAGTTGACGAAGTGATGGGATCCTGTCCAACGCTCCGCCCATAAAGCTCAGCGCACGTCTCCACCCAGTTCACCGTTCCAGGCCAGCTCGCTCGTCAGTCTTCACCTCCCCCCCCCCCCAGAAGCATACCTGTGGCCTCCTTCTCGAGAAAGTAGCGATCAGTGAAGCCATGTCTTAGCAGGACGCTTCAGCACAGACATGCTTAGGTCAGACTCCTCATCTTCGCCAACGATACTTGGCGAGGCCAGGAAAATGCATGTACGAAGTGCATCGGACTTTGGGGTCTCGCTTACGCGTGAAGACTCGTCCCTTCAAGCACGCTGATGCTTCACGCTAGGCCGGGAAGGTGGGGCAGTTGGTATTGGGATCTTCACCTGGAGATCCCGTGGTTAGGCGGGTCGGAGGACAAAGTTCTTGTGTCCTTCCCGGTTCTGCAGCTGATAGCCTCCCGGACTTTCGCAGTATGGTGCCTCCTTCGCCCCGACCCGTGGCTCCAAGGCCAACGAACCAATGCACTGGGTCTGGGTCCTATTTGAAGCTAACCATTCCTTTCTATCTATGATTGCAAGGAAAGACAGGCAACTGTCGACGGCGCGGGTCATTCAAGGTGTTTTCAGAAACCGTGGCCCTCCCTAATAAGTCATGGTCAGTCGCACCGGACACTCCTTTAGAAAGGTTGTTGCGGGGAAGGATTCGTACGGCTTGACTTGTTCACTCATCTGCAATGCCATATCTCAAACCAATATAGTCAGCCGGCGAGCGGTGGATGGTATTTCTCACTGCTTCTCCAGACAGCGTGGCGATGTGGCCCATGCCGCTTTTTGTGTGCCTGACTTTTTTTTCCCCGGAAGGGGACTGCTCTTTTGTAACAACGCGAGCCGGCCGCTCTTCTTCGACAATAGCAGGACTAGGCGGTTACTCATCTGCTAGAACAACGGAACGTAATTCAACTGCTGAAGCTGAATCCAGCCTCTCGATATTGATCGGCACTGTAAGGAACATGCCCCTCTCTGCCTGGTGGAAGAGAAGGGCAAAAATGAAGAACGCCAAACGCCTGAAGGCATTTGGAGGAGGCCACGGCAGGCCCAACTGCAAACGTATCGTATCGTATCGCTCGGGTACTGGTCGACCGCATTCCGTGACATAGACTCGGCATTCCCCGTTGGGGTCCTCGCATATCCATTCCGGCCGCCGACGTACGTGACGGGCATCATCGGCGATCTCTGCGGCCGGTCGCCGACCACTTTTGAAATGGGAAGCCCCGGGGTTGTAGGCCTCGACTGGCTATCGGGGGTGCCGACGACGGGGCACAAGTCGGAAGCCGAAAGCTGCAGTGGAGCGCCGGGAACCGGTGACCGGGCGAGGCAGCCAGCCTGTGAAGGCCCTGCCACAATGTAATCCTCCTCCGTGTGACATGCATGCGGGCAACCGTGACAGTGGTCCCACAGCATCGGCGCATGTGCGGCTGGTTAACCTGTAACAGCACACCGAAACTCTCGGCTCGGCTCTAGGAGGCTTTCGCCGACTGGTTGTTGTTTGACGGGGGTACCGGCTTCAAGCGCACTCGCGAAGCTAGGAATGCACAAGGTTATTACCAAGCTTCCAACGCTGGTTGATGTCATCCGTACCACCTTCTTGTACATGCTTTCCGATAGATAGGTTGCTTGCGTCGGCATCGGGCCCCATCGGAAAATCTTAGTTAGGTCGTCCTTCGCAAGGCGTCGGCCTTATGTGGGGCCAAATATTCGGGAAAGATGTCCGTGATCGGGCCGGTCCGTGACCGGAAGACGCCATTTTCAGATTGCATGTGGTATATTCTTGCAGTAGGGACCGATACGCGCGGTGAGACGGGAATGGGAGTCGGTCTTCGATCATCGAGTATATATCCGGCTGGGGGTAATTTAGCAACGAGTCACGCGATGGACTGACTCCCTTCGTCGTGCGGCTTTGAAATTGTTCGCCCTCGCTCGTACTTCGTGATTACTTCGTGCTTCGCAACTGAAACGCATACTAAATGTCAGGGATGTGTACTTTGTAATCTCATCGAAACCGTCGGGGTATTGGACTAATTAATTCGGAACTTTCTCCATGCTCATCACACAGTCTGGAGAGAGGTCCCTTAATTAACTCCCCGCAGATCCATCCATGCAACGCATAAACTTGGCCAAATGAGATGTGCAGGCTTGATGTCTTATTCCGAACACTGTGTAATTAAGGTAGAAAGGGAGGAAATGGCTGGAAGGTGCGGAACCTCATTATTCCTTCGCACCGTCGTGAAAGTCGATGGGCCTTGTCACAACAAGCTTTCCGAGTACGGAGCACCCGCAAAGACGGTTCTGCTGACGGAAGTCTGCGGGCTGATACGTATGATGATTTTCGAACTCGACTAACTGGATGCAGTAACAGCTCCTGTCCTCGATTCCATGCTATTCTCCTCCCGGAGTATTCGTATATGTATGTCAAGGGACTTCGTAATTAAGTGCAGGGAGGGAGAGAAGCTGCCTATGGGGGTCAGTGTTGTTATTATTATCGTTGTTGTTGTTGTTGTTGTTGTTGTTGTTGTTGTGATAATTATTGCATTCGGCAACCCCAGGCCCTCCATCTCTTGTTCGTTTCTTAAAATGAATCGTCGGCATGACCGTTAGGTGTTAATAAGTACCTTACCTACCTTATTAATTACTTCGTACGGATACCTCCTAATTACATCGTTTTACCGATCGGTGACAGATGCTGCGCCACTACCTTAGGTATGCATGACTACCGATGGACGTTGTAGAGGAAACCCACAACGGGTGGGCCGCTAGAGGGGGAAATACGAGCTCTTGTTCCATCATGGCCCGGAGTTCCTACAGATTTGGGATGCCTAACGCCGCCCATGCCTCCCGAGTACCGTTTGGCTTTTGGAGGGAAAAAGTACTCGATACGGAGTCAGTACATCGTGTGAGCTTAACGGTTGAAGAGGTACATAAGGTACAGACCAATAGGTAGGTACTACTGTGTGGGTACTTTGGATGATGTCAGCAGCCTGTTAACCATCTCTGAGTTTGTTCATTTGCCCGAGAAACAAGACAAGAGACAATTGATAATAATAACGATCAAGATGGATTCTTAACAAGGGTAATAATTCGTCCTAGAAGTGGTTAACTAGGTACCTCATAGTGGTCCAGTTTGTTGGAGCACTAAGGGTTATATTATCACGACAGGACTAGCGGATTAGGATACATCTGATAGTACCGTAAGTATCAGCCGACATTCTTGCGATGCTTTCAAGTAACACTGCAAGGCCTTACCAGGCGAATGGAGGTATAATACCAGGGGAGGCAGTTAATCCGGAGAGGGACCTAGGAGAGAGAAAAGGGGGGCAAGGAAAGGCAAATAAATGTACGGCTACAAACAATAAAAGTTTGTGTTCCCTCCCCTGTCACATACGTACTCGGTACTTATTTCGTACCGCGACGTTTCGCATGAATGCAACTCGAGAGGGCGAAGGACCAATTAACGGGGTCACCGGCTGGGCCGCATGCGGCCTTAATGCGCCGCGAGATAGGAAGAGTACGAAGTAGAAGGGGGGGGGACTAAAAAGAGGACGCAACCTGCTTGTTCAGTCTGGTAATCATTCCGAATTGAAACGTGAGAGTAACACAAATTGAATTAGGTACTGCGCTGGCGCGTCGTTGTCAACGCATCTGTTGTATTACTGGATAAGGAACTTAAAAAAAAAGGAAGACAAAAAACCCCCCAGATGAAAGATGAATTGTCGGAGATATTAGACTTATTATGCGTGCCAGTGTGAGGCTATCCGAGGCAGAGAGAGCAGAGAGAGGAAAGACGGAGAGTTGGAGGAATAGGTACGTCGTAAGAGAGAACATGCCATGTTCCTGCAGCCGGTGTTTCCCCCCCTTTTCTTCTCCGCCGTCGTTGTAGTATTGGTCAGGACGGATCAACGGGCGTATTTACCTTTTTCAGGACAGGGGCTTGTCTCCGAGAAACCCGTATAGAGTACGTGAATTTGCTATTCGCACAGTCTGTTCGGGGAAGACCTGTTTCTTATGATTTTGGTTGCCAAGAGGACGGACATTTGTGAGTCGATAAATTTCGCATCTCCGTATGCTACCTTATACATCGGCGTGGACTACTGGTAGGCATAGAGTAGACAGATAGGTAATTACGATGTCAATATGGGGTTGATGCAGCTCTGTGTGCATATTGCCGATTCTCAACTGGGAGAATTAAGATCAGAATATAAGTCCCTGTGTTAATCGCGTTCCTGCCATCAGATGGAACCATGGTTGTTAGCAAGATACGGAGTAATACCTGGTAGTATTCGTCCCTAGACAGGCCAGCGAGGCATGTAAGTACCTTAATTACTAGGTATCTGACGGAGATGGAGTAGTTCCTCCAGTGCATCGAATTGTAGCATAGGTACCCACCTAAGGTACGTGTACATACAGGCAGATCGAAGAGACCGTCCGAACAGGGACTTTTCCCAGGTCTCACACATGGGACTAAGGCTAGTAAAGGGGTGCGATGCACAGTGCGTACATAAGTGGACACCACCACACTGTAGAAGGGACCCTGTCGATATGCCGCGAGAACAATCTGGAATACGATGCGTAAACCTTCACCATCTTGCAATCTCGTCCATTCTGGCTTCTCCCTCCTTTTTTTTTTTTTTTGTTTTCCTCCCTTCCTTCTTTCCTTCCCTTCGGCCCCTTCTATCCTATTCTCGATTTGACTTCCACGAGGGCACAACAACCGGCTCAGTTCCCCGCCGTTGTTACTGCTCTTTCCATTAAACTTTTCGTTCGTTCAACACCCGTTTTCCCCTTTGATCGCTTCAGCCGTGGCTTTCCTAGCAGCCTCCATCAGTCCAGTCACGTTACGAAATTCCTTCAGCCACGTCTCCCTTGTTGCTTGAAGATTCATCGTCTTGTTTGCCAATAACGCCATCTTTCCGAAACTTCAGCGTTTTCGTTGTCTTCATCGTGTCGTCCAGCGCCGGGGGGGGTTTTTTGTTTCGAAAGGGAAAAGAATAAGCAATCATCGCCAGCTCGTTCGCATCCTGGTTATCGCTCCCTGCATTTTTTTCCTCGCATTTTTTGGTCTTCTTCTCTTCCTTTTTTAGTTGCATCGTCCATCGACTTTCGGCTTCAGGTTTTCTCTTTTTTTCATTATCTACTTTGCCGTGAAGAACGACTTCCCTGCTTTCCGACTAGTGACGAACAGCAGATTGCTGGACTCGTCAGACCCGACTACCACGGCACGCTGCCCCCTAGGGATCCTTTCGTGGACCACGTCTGTCTCTCCAGACTCTTCAAACTCTTCAAGTTTAGCGAGCAAGACGGGGTGCAAAAACGGTGCCCTACTTATGTTTGCACTCTGCCTCCCGGCCTCGATCTAAGCTGTCTGACACGGCATTGGATCTAATCCAACTTGCAGCAACTTCTTTTAGCCCGAGCGAGAAAAACTGGGCGACGGTGATAGTGGCCTGTTCTTCTTTTGGCGACTCGACGCCAACGCTCGTTTTTCCCTTCCCCCATACATACAATCAGCTTCTCTCTGGCCGCAGGCGACCGTTCTTTCTGGAGACTAGGTATTCATCTTCGTCTGATGACACGATAATCGGTCATTGCTTGTCGGTCGACACGAAACCGCCTCCTCTCTTTATTTTTACAACCAATAGGTAAGCAATTCGAGTATTCCACGCGTCACAGCAAGGCTCACTGCACGTGTGATGCCTTTTGTTATGTTTAGGTTTTTACCTGGTGCATCTTCTACGTCAACATGGCTTTCATTACCTCCCTGTGTCTGTTGGCCGAATTATCTTGCTAACGAACAATTGCACTCCAGCTTGTTCCCCTCGCCCGAACGACTATAACACGCAACTCTATATCCTTCGACTGCTGCTACTCGGAAACGCCCTGTTAGAAATTTGCATGGCACGCCGCCCGAACGCGATTCGACTGTAATCACTTCCGCCTAATTCGACAGGAATATGGCCGCGTTGGTTCGAACATATCCTCAACACACTAGCTCCGCAGCCGGTTTCCAGAATCGATCGACATCCGGGACCATGCTCCCCGTCCAGGCTCACCCGAACCAACCATACATGGCTGGCCAGCAGGGACAGCGTAGTTTCTCCGGAGGCATGGCCGGACCAGCCATGTATCGTGGCAATGGTGCACCAATCCAGCAATATGCCTTCGCTAGCACACCTAACTTGCACACCAACGTACCGCTTCAACCGTATGGGGGGTACCGCACGACTTCGTCCCCCGTCGTGCCCACAGCACAGCATATGATGCCTGTCTATGACCATAGAAGTAGGCATATGGGAGGTTCCATGTCCAGTGCATCGTACAGGGGCGCCATGGGTGTGGGAGCGACCGGCTCCCGGGATGATTTGTCCTTGCCACAGCCTCGCGCCATGCAGCCGGGACCGAGGCCTCAATCTGCCTATATGTCGGGCGCTCCCATGCAAATGACTTTCGCACAGGCTGCTGCCATGAGACCGGCGCCCGATAGGTATCGGCGGCCGGCTGGTCAAACCCAGCAGCAACCTCGCTATCAAGTCAACAACTCAGGTTCTGGTACGGCCAAGGCTTATGACTCGCAGCATGCGGGCGAACCGCCCCGACAGGATCGTGCCCCAACCCCCAAGAACTCGGATGAGAAGGACCCGAAATCACTGCGCCTGGTCACTAGCGACAACAGCAGCCATGTTCGACAAGGCAGCTCGGAAAGCGTCTCTTCCAGCCGAAGCGGACACTCTCAACCATCTTCTGTGAGTGCATTCTGACCTCTCATGTTCTCTCTCGCCCTCGCTGTGATAATGAACCAACCACATTGCTTTACTCGGGCCCCATTTTATTTTCCCCTGCAAGGTTGGCGTAACTAACCAGGATGTTTGCCCCCTCTTAGTCTGCCAACCGCAATGTGTCTACCCCGACGGGCCATTCATCCTCGACAACTGGACATTCCGATGCCGCAGCGTCCAAACAAGAATCCTCAAAATCCGTAACTATCCCCCCAAGAGCTTCATCGTCAGATGCGGCCAAACGAACCGTCAGTCCATCGCCGTTATCGAAAGAAGCGACCATGGAGGGTAAATCAGCTATGGAAAAGCCACCTTCCTCTTCTGGCGACGCTCCGCAGCAATCGGTTAACCAATCGGCGACCGCATCAACCGACGGTACTCTGAATAGCCCTGCCGCGCAACAGCTGGCGGCCATTAACCAAAACGGCGGCAAATCGAAGAGCAAGACGTCGAGGTTGCGACGCGCTTTTTCCTTTGGCAGTGCCGCCGATTTCAAGAAGGCCGCCGACAGCACGACAGGGTCGGATTCCATTGAGAGTAGCAAACATGAGCCTGCCCGCCTTCGAAAAGAGCCGACCGGAGATGAGCTCTTCGACGCTGAACAAGCGGCGATCGCGAAAAAGCAGGAGGAGAGCGGTTTGGGCAACAACATCTACGGAGGCCGGTTTTTCTCGGGCTCCACGGACAACCTATCCGTGTCGTCTACTGCGTCGTCGGCGTCCATCATGATCCGGAAGATGGGACGTGGAATGAAGAAGAGCAGTCGGTCCCTGGTTGGCTTATTTAGACCAAAGTCCTCTCTTGGCGTCTCGGTCACAAATGTGGCAGCGACAGAGGCTAGTCAGGCCGAGGTTTCGATGATCACCGTTGAGGCGGAGAGGGTCAATGTGAACCCGAACCCGCGTACCCAGAACGGTGGCGGTACCGGGTTTCCCCACCTGGAGCGCAATTCGTTGGATATGTCTAATGCGCCCAGCATGGTGTCGGAGCGCGGCGGCAGTTCCGGGACGGAGAATTCTAGCGCGCGGAAGAGCATCGTTGGGGGCGACAGGGAGCGGCAAGAAGTGCTGGCTGCGGTGAGGAAGGGCATCCTGAAGCACCGGTCCGGATCGCCAAGTTCAGGCGTCGAGAAGGGATCCGGCCCCGAGCTTCCGGCGATACCTCGCGTGTCGGATTCGCCCAACTCCAGCGCCCCGAGCACGCCGAATGATGAGGCGCATGGGCACAAACGCACGGGGTCGGTGGCCCTTGGCGGGGAAGACTACTTTGTATCGGCAATGAAGCTCCGACAGGACACAAAGAGTGCACCGACGACGCCACAGGGCGGCAAACGAAACGCGACTTTCTCCCCAAGGATTGTGTTCTACGATACGTGGCATAGCCAGGAGTACGACCGGCGTGGTGAGATTGCGACTTGCAACCGGCTCACGCCGATGCTGGCACAGCAGATCAAGGAGGAGCTGAACTCGTTCAAGATGGTGAGTTTCGATCAACGTTCTTCCATGTGTCTATCCCATGGTTTCAATGGATGGCAAGACTGACGACAATAATTATAGGAGATGGAGGTCCACGAGAATTCGAAGATCTACACACATTTCTTTTGATGGCCTGCGATGCCTCGAACGAGAGAAGATGCTGTCGACCCTTTTTTCCCTTCCCGATTAGGGCCACTCGACCCAAATCATGTGTATTCATCTTCCATTTTCCATTTTCCATTTCTCAAGGGCGTCTCTGGCGCAGCATAGTTTGGAGTCGGGGCGTTATTCTTTGCACATATTTCGCTTCTTCTCTTTTCTCTCTCTCTCCCCCCCCCCCTTCCCGCGCCTTTCTCGACTAGTACTTTCTGCTCCTAATTATCTTTTCTGAGATCCTGGGCACTCAGTCTGTTGCATCACTCCAGGCATACAATATATTGAGCTCAAGCGGGAAATGTTGGAAATGTGCAGCGGAGACGAGAGAGAGCAGGAGATGCAAGCTAGGTGATGAGGCATAAAGTGAAAAGCGGGCGGGAGGAAAAAGTGACAGACGAGGCATTTGTACGGATACAGCCATCGGTCAGGTCAGGCCGGGGTTGGTCGAGGGGACGGAATCCCGGCACCAGCTGACCTTTTTTTCTCTCCTTTTTTCTTCTTCCGTTTCCTGCTGCCTCGGGATTCTGCGGGGCAGTGAGACGGTCATGGTCTGGTCCAGACTACTTGGACTACTGTGCTGGCACTGGGTTGGTCGATTTGCTGTGTGCATTTGTTGCTTTTGGTGAGTAGGTGTAGGTACACGAGTTGACAGCCATGTGAAAGCGGCAGAAGCGAGCGGACGGGCAATAGGTTCTCGATGTGTTTTCGTTCATTTTTCTTTTTCTTTTTTTGTTTCTGTTTTATTTTCTTTCCACTTGCCTTTTAATTCGGCTAGGTAGTACGAAGAAAGAGAATGTGGTTTCTCATCATTGGCAAAGCAAAGCAAACCTCAGCTTCGTTGGGGAGGCCGAAGAAGAACAGTGCGGAGTGGCCTCGTGGTTCTGCGCATTCCTGCTTTCGAGATTCGATCGATTATGCATCTCTGTCACGCTTGTGAAGGACGGCTTGCAGCTGACGAACTGTCGGCGTATTCTCGTGGGGGGGTGTATGCGCACTTCTGCAGCTGTGTTGGTTGTTCGTGATCCTTCTGAGGTTGGAAGAAGAGCGGGGGTGGAGTTCGAGCCAAGGTAATTGGTGTGCGGATTAGCAGGTATCAAGTTACATTAAGGTATGTTCTTACCAGACGCTATCCCGAAATAGATGGGTAGGGGACCTTAGGCTAATACAAGTACCTGAAGAAATGCCCTCGGATCCTCAAGTACCACAGGAGTAGAGGATACTTTGTGGTCGTTGCCTTGCTAAGTACGTGTAAGGTAGCTGCTGCCCCAGTGTCCAATCATATCCCGATGGTTGTTGTAAGCCCATACTCTCGTAGCGCACGCAGCCTTATGCCCCGCACGGAGCCTCGTATTTCTTTCTTTACTTTTTTTTCTTCTCGCCTTATCTTATCGACAACTTTGGACGAGACGCGAATAATTACCTGGAAAAATCACATGGAGGGGGGCGGCACAGATCTCGCATCTCTCGTCGTCACCACCAAAACACGGCCGTATAATTTACAACAAAGCATATACTAGCCATAATATCGACAATTGCAATTTACACTCGACAAAATATAATCTGGAGGCGGTCCGAAGGCTGTCGAGCCCTTGGAAGCGCCCTAGCTCGCGGCTGCTTCGATCCTTTTACTCCGCGAGCTGTCTAATGGCTGCTACCCCGGGGCCCCAAGGGCAGGACCAGGTGCCTTCTCTCGAAGCAATGGGCTCGACTGCCGCCGTCACGTCTTCCAACTATGGCGTGAACCCGGGACCTGGGAAAGCGAAACTGCACGGGCGAGCCTTCTACGAAAGCCTTGGGAGCCCGAAACACGTTCTCGCGCCTATGGTGGCTCAATCCGAGTTTGTGAGTCCTGCTTTGGTTTCGTCGTTTCCCTGGGCGCTTCGCACGTAGGGTATGATGCTAATATGCCTCTTTTTCCCCCATTAATGTAGGCGTGGCGAATGTTGACACGATCGTTTATTGCGCCGTCCGACCAATCCAACCTTCTGGCTTACTCGCCCATGCTTCATGCGCGCCTCTACGCTGAGAAGGAGCCATACCGCCAGAACACATTTCAACCTACCCGATCGCCCTGTCCTTCCTCCTCTTCTCCATCTTCTGCCACAGCGAACGGTACACCACCCCCCTGGCTTGACGGGAATCCTTCCATCGACCGCCCTCTGTTCGTCCAGTTTTGCGCAAACGATCCGGATATCTTGCTGGAGGCCGCCAAGCGTGTGGCGCCCTACTGCGACGCCGTCGACCTCAACCTCGGCTGTCCCCAGGGCATCGCCCGCAAGGGCCACTACGGCGCCTTCCTGCAGGAGGACCAAGAGCTGATCTACCGCCTCATCAACACGCTACACCGCAACCTCGACATCCCCGTGACAGCCAAGATCCGCATCCTCGAAACGCGCGAGGCCACCCTCGCCTACGCCAAGAAGGTGCTCAACGCCGGCGCCAGCATCCTCACCGTCCACGGCCGCCGCCGCGAGCAAAAGGGCCACCTCACCGGCCTCGCCGACTGGAGCACCATCCGCTGGCTGCGCGGCCAGCTGCCGCCCGAAACCGTCCTGTTCGCCAACGGCAACATCCTGCAGCACGCCGACCTCGCCCGCTGCCTCGAGGCCACCGGCGCCGACGCCGTCATGAGCGCCGAAGGAAACCTCAGCGACCCGGGCCTGTTCGCCGCCCCGCCGCCCCCCGGTCAGGAGGGCCGCGAGTACTGGCGCGGCCGTGACGGCCGCGGCGGGTGGCGCGTCGACGCCGTATTTCGCCGCTACCTCGATATCCTCCACCGTTTCGTCGCCGAGCAGGACCCCCCGGCGCGTCGCCCGCTCTTCGTCCCCGGGGACGATACCGCTTGGATGGACGAGATGGACGCCGCGGCCGCCGAGGCGGAGGAGCCGGCGCGCAAAAAGCAGAAACGCAGTGGCGCTGACGGGAAGAACAACAACAACAACAACAAGAAGAAGAAGAAGAAGAGAGACAATGGGCCGCTGGGCCCCAATCTCATGGGGATGCAGCCGCACATGTTCCACCTCCTGCGGCACTTGGTGACGAGGCACACCGACATTCGGGACATGCTGGCGCGGACTAGCAATGGGGACCTCGAAGCCTACGAGACGATCCTCACCGCCGTGGAACGTAAGGTGGCGGACGGGCTGCTCGAGTATGAGCGTACCGGGGGTCGTATGTTCGACGACGGGGAAGACGAAGGCGGGAGGACACCGAAAACAAACGGGACGTCTACGTGTACTACCACTTCACCCGACGGAGAAACCGCGACGAAAGACGCCGTTTCGTCCGCTGCGGGGGGTGGCCAGGACCCACCACCACCGAACGGTTCCCAACAAAACGGCCTCGAGGGTGGTACAGCTGCCGGAGAAGGGAAAAGCAATGGTAAAGGCCAAGGCGAGGACGAGGGCGAAGAAAGCTCCGCGGCGGCGGTCCGAAGGTGTCGACGGCCTTGGTGGGTCGCCCAGCCCATCGTGCGCCCTCTTCCCAGGGAGGCCATGGCCAAGGGCGCGATACAGCTGAGCAAGAAGGATAAAGAGAAGTTGCTTGCGGAAGAAGAGGAGAAGAAGAAGGCCTCGAAGAATGGGACGCTCAAACCATCTGACGAGGGCTCGGCGGCTGTGAGCGTGATTGACGTTGAGGCGAGAGTCCTTGAGACGGATGACAAGCTCCTGGCAGGGTAGAAACGGGACTCTTGAATAAAAGAAAAGGAAAGGAAAGGGAAAAAACAAAATTGTTGTATGTCTGGACTGGATGCATGGGCTTTTTGTGGTACCTATCGTGAGAAAAGGCGTTCCATCACATCGTTGCATAGTATATATTCTTGGGAGCACGATGATAGCGGGTGTAGAACGAGATAGATCTATAGATAGATATATGGACCTAGGAACGAGGTCAAGATGAAGCTTCTGAATCGCATCTTGGTGGAAATATTCATACAATTAAATCCGAGGCCGAGTCATTGCATCCAATCTGAGTTGAACGCCGGCCGAAAGCATCTATCAGAAGCCAGCAAACCACAACAGCAACCTGCCTTTCCGACAAGCAATGTCCTCCATGTCCTCTATTGTCGATCTCTCCCTTGCTGCTTCGATCAGATACGGATATCCCCATTCTCCATGTTCAAGCCAATAAGACACGGCAAATTCACCTCCGTCCCCGTTTGACGGGAGGCGGACTACGAGACCGCGAAAGCGATTCGCCATGTCTCCGCCTCTTCGGACCTCCGTCCCCTCCCACAACACGGTCAGGACTCCGTGACCTCGGCCTGCCGCGGTAGCCATGACGTCCGCCTCTGCCAGCGCGTCCTCCACGTCCGCCTCGACCACGTTCGGAACCCCGGCCGCGTCCCGTACCTCGACCCCGAGTAGCGCCATACTCTTCGCCCGGGCCGTTTTGCCTCCGAGGGGGAGGGCTGGGCGACCGTGAATCGTAGGAATCCCGCCTCCTGTTGCGCGTGCCCCTCGCAGAAGGTGGAGCTGGGGACCGGCTATCCCCGCGACGTGGGAGAGGAGAGCGGCTCCGGCTCCGGCTCCGGGTCGGCGAACGCAAACGCGAACGGGAACGCGAATCGGATAGCGGCCCACGCGACCGGCTCTTGACGTACCGAGGTTTCTTTCTCGGCCCGCTGCTGACAGAAGAACTGTTCCTCCTGCGGCGAGCTGGCAGCGGCGAGGAGGGACGATCGCGAGGCGTGGGGCTGCGTCCCCTCCTTGGTGGTGCTGCCGCTGCACCTCGACGGGGCGGTGGGCTAGCCGAATACGAATCGTTCCTCGCTGCTCTCTCCCGAGGAGGGGATGGCGATCGAGAAGGAGACCTGCTGACAGACGAGCTGTTGCGTCTTGGCCTACGGCGAGGGGGTGAATCGCTCAAGCTTCGGCTGCGACGGCTGCTTCGCGGGGCCGGTGCCGCGGAAGGGGAGCGCGAATCGCTCGAATACCGACGCGTTGGCCTGGGGGATGGGTTGCTAGAGTAGGAGACGTCTCGTATAACGGTGCGACGCGGAGCGGGGGAGAGTGAGCGGGTATAGGAGCGTTCACGGATCGGGCTTCGGCTACGACTGCGACTGCGACTGCTACTGTAGGAGCGGCGTCGGTCACGGCCGCGGGGAGTAGGGGAGCGAGTATAGGAGCGGTCGCGATCGCTAATAGAGCGGCGTCGTGGTGTGCGAGACCGGGACCGGGACCTGGACAGGGACCTGGACCTGGATCGCGAATAGGATGAGCCGGTGTAGGAGGAATAGCTCGATACCGAGTCGGAGTCGGAATCGTCGGCGGCAGGCGCCGGCAGTGCCGGCTTGGGGATGTTCTGTAGGAACTCGCGCGACTCCTCGGTAAGCGCGCCCATGCCGATACTGGTGAAGTAGTTGATGCAGAAGCGCACGTTCCGCGCGCTGTCGCGAGGGAACAAGCCGGCCAGGCTGGGTTGCAGCATCTCGTCCTTCATGCGGGCCTGGAGCTTGGGCATGCCCAGCTCCTCGGCCAAATGCTGGAAGAGGATCTTGATGAAGATACGACTGGAGCTGGTCGTCTCCTCCTCGTTGAGGTGGATGGCGGAAAGGACGTGCCAGCCGATGGCGTCGCTAGCCAGCATGCTGGCGAAGAACGTGGCAATGTTGCGCAGGCGGTTCGTCTCGTAGCGATGGATCTTGTTGTAATAGTCGACGAAAGCATCCTCAAAGAGATTCGTCCAGAGCCGGTTCAGCTTGGCAAAGCGTTCGCCAATGAGACCGTGGAATTTGGTGAAATTCTTTTCCTGTGAACAGATCTCGACGATCATGGACGGGAGCTCTGCTTCCCGGCCGGGCGGGAGGTTGACGCGGAGAAGCTTATGCACGGCTTCCTCGGGATCAATGGAGGACATGACGGTAAGGTAGATGGTGCGCCGCAGGTTGACGAGATCGGTATTGGTCTGGTCCTTGATCTCCATCGCCTTTTGCTCTTCATTTGCCTCCTCCTTGTCGTCGTCGTCGTCGTCGTCGTCTTCGTCCGCACTGTCATCCTCGTCATCGTCTTCGTAGTCGCTTCCCTCGCCAAGGATCTCGGCCTTCAACTTCTGGTACGCCGCCTCATGTTCTTCCCAGTCCGGGTCGTATTTGAAGACGTTCAGGCCGTCCTGGACGTCGATTTCGCCGTCGAGGTCGATGCGGTGGGTGATCTGGTCTTCCTCCTCGATGAGGTCGAGCTCCTCTTTGATGGGAGGGTTGTCCTTGAAGTTGTCTTTGCGGACCTGGAACAGGACCTCGATCATGTACTGGACGCGCTTGTCGATGTCGGCCTCGTGAAGGACGTTGCGTAGCTGATCCCAGACGGCCATGGCAATGGCGGGCTGCATATCCTGAAGGTGCTGGCCCACCTCGCGCATGAAGTTGACGGCAATCTCGACACTATCGTCGGTGGGCTTGTGTAGGAGGAGGAGAAGCATCTGGCCGGCGAGCATCTCGTGCGCGACCTGGTGGTTGATGAGGTGGGCGAGGAAGGTGGTGCTGGCGACGCAGACTGCCTTGTCGCTCCGCTTGAAGCTCTTACGGAAGGACATGACGAGGCGCTTGACGAGGAGCTCGCCGACGATGGGAAGCTTCGTGTTGACGATGGCTGCCATGGCGGCGAAGACGGGAGTGAAAGGAAGGGAGGTGGCCTGGGCCTTCATGATGCTACGGCAGAACAGACCTCGGCCCTTGATGAGATTCTCGCCGAACAGCTCGGGAACGATGTGCTTGATGTTGGAGTAGTTGACTTTGTTGATGAGACCGTTGATGGACTTTTTCAGCGCCTCCCACACGAGTCGCTGATACTCCTTGCTCGACTTGTCCGTGATCTGGGCCTGCAGAGCGCGAAGCCGTGCGGGGGGGATGTAGGTACCACCGGAACGCATCGACGAGAGCTTCTCGTACTCGGCCTTTGCGATGGCTTGCTTCTCCTCCTCCGTCTTGACAGGCGGCGGGCTGCGTTTCCTGGGAGCAGGGCGGTACTTGTCCGCGACGCCGACGTTGGGCCCATCGCGAGGTGGGCGTCGGTCTCGGCCTTCGGCACGTCTTCGATTTGTAGTCCCTCTTTCGTCCCGGTCCGATTCCCTTTCCCGTTCGCGTTCTCGTTCTCGTTCTCGCTCTGGTCCTCGCTCTGGTCCTCGCTCTGGTCCTCGCTCTCGTTCCGTTTCCCGGTCACCATTTCGGTCACCATTTGGTTCACGGCGTGGAGATCGATCATCTGGGCCGGGGGACCTATCAGCCGGACGGGGAGGAGGCGAGTCGACGTCTGGAGACGCCATCCTGGTCGCGCCCGTTTGGATGCTCACTGTTCGTGTATCGGTTCAGTTTTCTTCTCTCTTCTTCTTTTTTTTAATTAATTCGTTGAGGCTTTAACTTGATCGGAAGGCTTGCGAAGACGCGAATTCCAAGTTCGTAGGGGATGGCAACCTCGAAGTGAAAAATAAGAAATGGGGATGATGGCGGAAGTTCGTTCCTCAGTTACGGGGACTTGGGAAAGACGCGGCTGAACTTTTCTCTACCTAACAAAGCAACAAAGAGGAACGAACGTGCCGTGCGAAAATGTGGCTGGGGAGTGGGGCTACTAAAAAGGCTGCGGCAAATGATGCGCATGGACCAAGTACGGCGTATTAGTCAGTCAGCTTGGGGTGGCTTGAGCTGCAGGTACTCGTCCAGGTGTCTCCACCTGCAGCCAACACAAACGTGTATATAGGTACCTTAGGTGCGGTACACGGAATCGAGTATCGCGAACCTCGACCACGACCACGACCGTCTACAGAGACCAAAGACCACGCCCATACTCGACCAATAGTTCCCAGTCGACGTCCCTCCGACTCGTCTATTCCTCTCTCTCCCGCGCGCGATTCTACACTCCTTACGCTAAATTACCCTTTTTTTTTCTCCATTGACAATGGTACGTGACCTCTCGCCCCCTCCACCTCCACCTCCACCTCCACCTCCACCTCGCCCTCATGTCTCCTAGGCCCTTCTTCTCTTTCTCCTATCCAGCCATCTCGGATTGAAACAAGGGAGGAGAGGGAAGACAGAGCGGGCGCGACAAAGGCTATGAGGTTCTTCTCATGGAACCAATGGAAGATGATGTCCAGTAGACTAATAAGCAACCATCAACACCACAGCTTGACAAACTCGTCGGCCTCGCCATGCTCGTGGCCGCCTCCGTCATATTCACCTATTACACCATCTGGACTCTGCTCATGGTATGTGGGCCCCCTGTATTCCTTCCACCGTCCGGACTACCCCTCGGCGCAGCAGCATCACGCCACTTGGCGTGAGACGAGAACACATACCATTGTACAGGGGAAAAGGAACGCTAACGCAGCAAATTCTCACTCCAGCCCTTCGTCGACGACGACCACCCTCTCCAAAACTTCTTCCCGCCCCGCGTCTGGGCCATACGCATCCCCGTCATCCTCATCCTTCTCGGCTCCGCCGTCGTCGGCTCCTTCCTATCCATGGTCATGATCCGGAGCAACAGGAAGAAGGCCGCCAAGGCCAAGGCTGCCGCGAAGAAGAAGGCGTAAAGGAAAGAAAGAAAAAAAAGAAAAAGCCCCCCATAGACAAAAGGGGGAAGGAGGCAAGGGATTGTCTTTCGAGGGCGTCCGTGGGCATGGGTCTGTTGTAATAACGAAAAAAAATCAGGATTCATGAGACGTGCGCTGCCAAGGATTTCCAAGTAATGGTAATACAGAATGGGATGGGCATCGCGCGAAATACCTCCAGTCCATGAGATCGATCCTTGGTACTCGTGGACATCCGTGCTTCAAAATCGGACAGGTTCACAAAGGCATGGGACCAATATGGGTATCTAAGGGGTTGATTCTATTCAGCAAGCTGGGGGTCAACCAGAGCCCACCTGGGATTCCTAGACTTATGTTAAGCCAAGATCAAAACACCAAGCATGGTGTTAACTAATATGGTCGCAAACAGGCCAGCCAGTACGCCGTACCAGGAACCAAGAGACATACGACTTTGCAAACGACACTTCAACCCTTTCCCTCCTCCTGCCCCCCTTGCCCTTGGGCCCTGCCCGTGCTTGTTGAAGAGCGGTGCGCCTCGGGTGTAATAGTAAAATCCAAATGTCCCAAACGTCGCCTCGTCAGCTACTTTCCCTCCCGGCCAGTCTCGTATAGAAAGAGAGAGAGAGAGAGAGAGAGAGAGATCAACGCCGGACGAGAGAACCAACACTCCCATGCAATCCTTAACCGCGGCGCTGGCCAACTATGTATGCATCATCGACTTACTCATACCCTCTGGTCTGCAAAGTCAAGAACCTCGCAGTCATCCTCAAAAAACCCATGCTCATCTACCATGTGACGCGCCCCTCGCCGCCGCCTCGTCGTCACCACGATTTCGTCGCGATTTCCCCCCACGCGCATCACTCTCTCCATCGAAGATGACGGCAGTGCGCGTGTTTCCTCCGAAGCGTCCCACTCCTCGTCTTGAAGAATGCCATGATCCAGATGTAGCTTGAACAAGTCGATCGGCTGACCAAACGCCCAATGTCGTCGGGACACGTCATGGGCCGCAGGCGCCGCCTGGGAGGCCTGCCGTGCTTGTTTCCTCTTCGACTTGGAAGATGGCGGGTCGTCGAGTGTCGCTTCGGCGAGGAGCGCTGTCACCGCAGGGACCTCCGAAGCGACGTCCGCTGACGTGGCGTACTCAAACACAGAAACCCTCCTGTCCGTATGGAAAGGCTGATACGGGGCGCTAGATTCAATCTCGGCTTGCGGGATGCACGCCTCCGCGCTGATCTCGGCCTGCACAGCTGTCGTACGAGGCTCGAGCGTCAAGGTGTTCCCTGCATCCATCTCCCTGTCGGACAGATCCAGGTATTCGTCCGAGTCAAGAAAATGCCTCACCATCGGTGCCAGCGTATCGTCGGGTAGCGTGGGGAACTTGAAGTCCATGTACCGGTTGCCTCTAGACCCTCGCTGCTTCTCCGACGCAACCAATCCGCGTCGGCTCTTGGAAGGGAACGTCCGTACCAGCCCGCTACCGACAACGAACAGCCTATGGTACCGTCTACCAGCGAGCCATGTCACACAGGACGCCGACGGCGGTACCACGCTCGGCGGGAGCGACACCCGGTTCTCCCCCGTGTGCCGCAGCTGGTTGATGGCGGTGCCAGTCTTGCCCAGGGAATGGCTGATCGTGGCAGCGATCGCCCGTCCACCCTGGCTGGCAGAGTCGACGAGGTTCGCGCTGTTTAGGCCGGGTCCATTAGAACTGCCCCTTCGAGAGCGGTCGATCAGCGGCCTCGCAGCTTCAAAGGCCGCACCGAACGCGGTGGACGCCATGGACACCGCAGACCCGGGCGATTCGGACGCTGGCGCTCCATTCGGCTCCGTCATCCTCCTGCGTCGAGGGGGCGGCCACGTGAAGGCGTTGCCAGGCATGTCGAGCAGATGGACGGTGCCACGCTCCGTCACCATGGCAATCCGCTCCCCGTTAGGCCTAGACCAGGCCACCTCTACAATGCGAGCAACCGTCATCCTCGAGAAATGGGCCACCTGCCGTACGCGCGGCCCAACCGTACTCGTAGCGGCAACAGCCTGAAGCGGAGACGACTTGGTATACTGGATGCACATGAGATCCCAGACTGTCTGCACATCGCCCTTGGTGCTGGCAGTGAAGAGAAACAAACCCGACGGAGAGAAGGATAAAAAGCTACATCCGAGAGGAGTCTGAAATGTGGTGACAGGATGCGACGAGGCAGACTGACTCAGAGTCGCCAGGTCCAAGACGGTAACCAGGCCTGGCTCCCTACTAGCCACGGCTTTCCCGGGAGTCCCATGGGTCGGCGGGAACTGAACTGGATCGGAACGCTGAGGGTACGAGCTCGACCATTGCTGCGGGGCTAAAGGGGGCGAGCGTGGTTGTCGGCCGCCTTGCTGGGACGTGTTCTTATTCCAGTACGCGTTCCAGGCCTGCAAGCCCTGTTGACCAACCCACTTGGCGCCGGATATGATCTCCTGCGTGGTCTCGCGCATGATCTTATTCATCATGCCCTCGGAGATGGGCAGTTCAGCGCCGGAGGTCACAGTGGGAAGCACGGGTGGCGTGACTGATGAGAGGCCAGGCCCTTTGCCGAGCATAGGCACGGGGACATGGGCTCGGATAGCAATTTGAGAGGAAGGCGCCGGTGGACAATAAGCGATCCACCGCCCGTTCAAGGCCAGAATGGGAGTCGGTGGGTTCGGGCGTGCAGAGCTCGGAGCGGGAGACGGTCGTCCCCCGGACTCTTCGGTCACTTCGCCACCTCGTGGGGCCTGCTGCAGACTGGTCCAGAGTTTCCCGGCACAGCCAAAACGAACTCCTCCATCGCCGTACAGACCTTCGATACGGCGGTACACCCAAACCTCGCCAGTAGAACCAGATGCCACGGCAATGTTACCACCATCAGCTTGGATAACGAATGTACCGGTCGGAAGAGGGGCTTTGAAGATTGGACTGGTGATAGGAGTGGCCAGAGGAATTTTGGGTGCTTCAAGCAGGACATCGATGAGCTTGTTTGATTTGAGTGAATAGAGTTCCACGCTGGTCTGGTAGTGCTCAACGGTAGCCAACGAGCGGCCGGTCGCCGCATCCCGGTGGCTGGCGTCTGTTCGGGGACTGTTGCACAACTCTGGTCTCTCTTCAGGAGAGGCAACTCGAGGACCATCCTCTGGTGCGCCTGCCGGCAGGACAGGGCCGTGGACAACGACGGCAACCAGAGGATAAACGTCGGCGTGTTCGTCAGAACCAATCCAAGGTAGGATCGTAGCATGCAACACTCCACCTCGCAGCCCCTTGAGGCCGGTGACGCGCTGTAAGCCCCGCTTGGAAACGGAATACACCTCGAGTCCGCCCTCATATCCTGCCACTACGACATTGTCAGATCCCGGGGACAGCTCCGAGCTTGACGGTGCGGATGGGAGAGTATCGAGGCCGAAGTGGTAGCCGTTTTCCCCAGCCTTGATCCCAGTCTGCGGCCCCACATCGAAATCGAGATCTGGAGTACCGTAAAAGTGAGCCTGGGGGAGATGCGGAGGTGGCGGATACGGGCCCGCTCGCGCATGGGAGAAGGGAGACTGGACGGAGGCGCGGCGGTAGGCAGCGGTGGCAGCAACTTGCGCATGCAGTTCAGCGGCGTGCATAGGATCCTGCTGGTAGCTCAGAGGGCGGCGGAGACTGCTGGGGACACTGCTGGGAGGCGATGGAGAGGCCGCCTGCGGGGTCATGATGGGCCGCCGGGTCGCCCAGCCGGGAGGGAGGCGGGCGTGGTCCTCGTAGGAGGATGGCTGGGTAGGTGGCGATTCGCCCATGAGGCTGATGAGGTTCCCCGGAGACCCAGCAAGAGCGCTTCGGGTCCATTCGTGGTGGTTGCTGACGCCGGTGCTGGCGGAAACAGATGTCGCAGACAGCGCATCCAAGGGCGGGGATATGGTCAGATTCGCATCGTAGGCAGATGGAGCGACGGGTTTAATGTCCGGGGATGCAACCGACGAGGAAGAAGCAGAGTTGGAGACGGGGCCTTTAGACACGTTGCTGTTTTCCTCGGCGGTGTCAGTAAGCGGCTGTGCTGCATAGACGGCTTTATGGGAGGGAGGGAGGGAACCTACGCGAACTTCCCAGCAGCGAGCTTGCTCACTGCCGAGGTAACTCCTCCACCATCTTTAGCGTTCTTTCTGTCCTTCTTCGAGCCTAAGTGACAGGAAGAAAGAGACGGATGAGTCAGTTTCTGGCGGGCCGGAGAAGTAGAAGCTACGCGGGCTCTCGAGACGGCCAGTGTAGGAACAAGGGGTGCGCGATAGAGGAGGGAGGGAGCTTACTCGGCATCCAAGTGGTATTGCACGGGCAGCCAGGGCAGGATTCCCTCCCCGGATCTGGCGTGTCCCTTGGCCAGTTAGTAGCAGTTGGCGGTTGGCGGTTATCGTAGGCAGATACGGGGGAATGAGGGGGGAGTAAGAGGTCCGAGTTCGGTGGGTTCCGGAAGTAGAAGATGGGACGTCGTGATAAGTGGTTGTTCGCCGGTCTGCCCCGAGTGCCGCTCGGGAAATAGATGTTGGACAAAGCAAAGAGAGATCTGGAAAGACGCGCAAAGAATCAAGGAGCGTTGTTTTCTGGTTGCGGTTGCTGATGTTGGCCTGTTGCTGAGGTGGGGGTGCGTAAAGATAAGGGAGTGGATCTTCAGGCACAGCCTCGACGATGGAAGATGGAGATGGGAAACGTAAGAGAGAGATTTGGGGAATGTTAAAGAGTCTCGAAACGAATCGTCTATAATAGGGTAAGGTAGGTCTGTAGGTATTAGGAAAAGGCAATAGGACGCGTCGGAAAGGAGGACTTTGATAGCTGTAAGGTATCATAGGCTCGTGTAGTCAGTTTCGTTGTGAGTAATAGGAGAGATGAAAGGGTGAAGGTTAGCGAGGGAAAGGGATACCTAAGGTAGGAAAGAAACAGGAGAGGGTGAGGGGCAGGGCAGGGTCCAAGGTCAGGCACGAGCATCAATCAGGTCAGGAGCTTGTAACAAGGAGGTTAGTTCAGTACGAAGTACGGTACGGAGGGAGTTGAATGTCGACGGTGGTACATTGTACATGCACCGTGGTAGCTACCTTAGTACAGGTACCTTGCTACGAAAATAAACGCGGTACGGAGTACGGGGTAGTGGTGGGGAGGTTGGTCAGATCAGTGGGGTCTGCCTGGGTCTGCCTGGGTCTGCCCCTCGAGACAAGCGGGTCTTCAGCACTGTGCAGTGTTATCGAGAACTGCCTGCAACTTCGCCGTCGAACCCCCCACCTCTCCTACCCCGCCTCCTGTCTCTCAGCGCGCAAGTGTCATGAAGCACGACGGCACTACGAATACTCCGTAGTAGTACTGATACCTAGGTAGGTACCTAGTAAAGACTAAGGTAATAGGATCCTTTCTTATTACTGTATCATAACTTTTAATGTCCTCAGCGAAAGATATTCGGAGGCAGAAGTATATACAGATACGTCCTGCCTGGATGGCATCCAACAAAGGGCCGGGTGGGTCCAACACGGACGGCCTCCGTGCATCATCAGCCAGATCTAAAAGACTACCTGGGTACCTACCTTGTTGGTTCGGAGTGACTCTTGAAACAGGTGATTCACACTGATCCCTAACAAAGTACTATCATAAGGTAGGAACAAATGAAGGCGCCTCTTAACGGACACATCCAAACGTCCATTAATGTCCATCCGTGGTGCGCCATTGACAGACAAGCTGCGTGGGACGGCCAGGCACCTCCGAAGCCAAAGGAGATCCAGGTGTCATATGGGCGTGGCATGTTGGGGCAATGTTCTGTTTTGGGCCCAAGACTAACTTGGTCAATGGACAAACGCGCTCTTAGTCGGTACCTACATCTGCCCGTAGAAGAGGTACCGGGTCCTCAACCCATCCGTTTCTTCGTCATTCGCTCTCGGAATCCGATGGCAGGAGAACATTCCAGCCTGTTGTTGTCTTGGGAGAGGAAACGGGGCCTGACTCTACCCCGTGTCTTGGCTGAATGATTCATCAAAATGGATGATAAGCAGGAATAGTAGTCATGGCCGGGTACCGACGGTTAGCCGCCCCAGGACCTTATACTGAGGTAAGGTAGGTACCTTACTTTATTGATTGTGTCGTCGGGTTACCTCGGTCAGCAGTCGGCGCCGATACTCATGTCAGTAGCACGAGACTTGAGGTTGACTTCGTTTCTCTCGCCACAAACAACACGAGGGATCATCGAGAAGAAACAGAGGGCGACCGTTGGCGACAAGTTAACGTAAAGGTTGCTTGCTAAAACATGTAGGGGATATATTGAAGACCGCCAGAACAAGAGAGAACCGACCACTGACCACCCCGCCCTGAACCCCGTGGACTGGTCAGGTGAGCGGGCCATCCAGCGCCGGCTCACGGGCTATGCTTAATCCACGTGAAGTCGTGACGTATACCTGCGAAAGGAACGGGACTTACGGCTCTTCCGGCGCTTGATGCTGAGCAGGCAGGGCTGAGGAGCCAAGACGCACGAATCGTTGCAATACAGAGTACTTCCTTTCTTCCATTCTTTGACGGTACCTTAGGCATGAAGTACTGCATTTCTCCGATGACTTCGATTTGGGTTCATCGAAATGACAACTTTCGAGTCCTGTCCAGACATGCTTGTGATGTCATTGGTGCGCCACCCCGAGTCCAATTCCGTACCTTAAGGTGCGTCCTGTCGTACCTCCACAAGGTTATCTTATCTTGTCTTACCATGTATTCGGATACCCCCTTTTGACCTTGTTTTACACATCTCATTCTTTCATTCTTTGTCTCGCGTGCAAATGCAACCCGCTTTGGTCACCCCGACTTACCACTGCGGACACAGTAATGAGCTAAGGTCTATTCATCATATATAAACCACACCTAGCATCGGGTTAATGATGTAAACGGATGATGAAAGTCAAAATAGAATCTTGATGTATAACGATGCGATCCTCTGCAGAGTAATCAGCAACTATAAAGTAACCGCCAACTCCCACGCTTTGCTCGAAGCGCCTCGAAGCGCCTCAAAGCGCCTCAAAGCGGCCGAGTGCAAGAACCACTTTAGATAACACCCCATGACTTAGAAACTGATTGACAAGGAATCAGACAAATAACCGCGTCTCCCTACCAAACGCCCAAACCAAGGTTCTGTCTGGTCCCAAAGCAGGTAGGTAAGGACACCTTGAACGCCCCCGGAGAAAGATCGGTGCGAGCAACAGAACTGGGTGGTATAATGATGGTGCTACGTCCTTACGCCCCGGGCATTCACTTCGCCTTTCTCGCCAATGTTGAGAGCGACGCGGCAGTCGGGGCAATACCACTTTGTCGTTCGGGGAGGGATGGCCGTGAGCCCCACGCATTCCAGATGGAACCATTCGGTGGGACAGGTCTTCCGCAACAAGTCAGCATCGTGGACCATCAAGGGTGACAGGGGACGAAAGAAAAGGAGTATGTGAATGATGAAGCTGGTTGACAGGAGACGTACCGTATTATCGCAACTGATCATGGTGCCAAAACTGACCCTGTTGCAAACACAATACCTCGGCTCTTCCGGGTCGATACTATTGCCCTCGTCGTCGACTTCCTCCATCTCCTCGATCGTCTGTCCATTGTCCTTTTTCTGCGACCGTACGCGCCGTTTGACGCTGGGCGCTTTCTTCCGACGGCCGACGGCACTGCTACCCCCCGAAGAGGTCGTGCTGACTACACCAGGCGCCGGACGTCTTGTCCTCCTGTTCGCCGCTTGCGCCTCGGGAGCCGGCGTGTTCCGCGCTGTACTAGAGCGTCGGGGCCGGTCAGCGGCCAGGGAAGGTTGTGGCTCTTGGCTGGGAGCCTTTCCACGAGAGGATGGGCGAATGCGGGTCGCAACTTCGTCGGACCCCGGCAACATGCTCGGGGTGCTAGACCTTGATGCGGTCTGCTTCGCACTCGGCGCAGCGGACGGCTGGCCCTGATCTTGCTGCGCCTGGCCATGTACATCCACGGACGGAGCTTGCTGCTGCTGCTGTTGAGTCTTCTTAGCCGCGTCGCCTCGTGTTTCTCGCTTGGACGGTTCGCGAACGGGCCGTAGAATCGGTGTGGTCGATTTCCTAGGAGACATGGATGGTGGCGGAATTGGCGTCTCCGCTGGTGGCTTCACAGAGACAGCGGTGGCTATGGTGTTCGAGAGGGCCGGAGACACAGCACGCTTCGGTGCATCTTGGCCGAGGACAGGAATAGGAACTGGGGTGGAAGACACGGGCGTCACCGTAGAACCATTGGGCGTGAGAACAGGAGGGGGAATGGGCGTCTCGGTTAACGGTTGTGAACTGAGGCTTGCGCGCAGCTGAGGGAGAGGGACCGGCGTCTCCGTCTTGGTCCGCTTGAGAGGAGGGCGACCCGCTGATGTATCAGTCGGGTCGGGCTTCCGATCTTCACCTTCAGCAATGGAATGGCGTTTACGCTTGTTTCTGGACGACGTCGACTTGATCTGAGCGGAGCTGTTGAGTTTGGCTGGCAAGCTAGGCGCTGGCTGTTGGGTTGTCATGAGCTTCCGGGCCGTCTCATTGAACCGGCGGGCAGACTCCTCCGCTTCTTCGGCAGCCTGTTTCGCAAGCGACTCCCTTTTCTGCCTCTTTGCCTCGTTCAACTTCATGCCCCTGTTGCTCGAGGGCACCCCTTCCGATGTAAGAGCCGCAGCGCTCAGGGCGCCTTCGGGAAGCTTATGAGAACCTGAGGGGGATTCTGCCACGACGGCGGTTGGAGGCAGATCTATTGCCCTGCCTTCCTCTTCGGCTTTCCTCTTGGCCTCGCGGTACGCTTCAACACCACGTCCGAGGTCATTGAGTTCTCTGGCAATCATAGCGTCGCTCGGTGTCCATGTGGCGTTCTTCTTCATACGCTTCCGAAGCCTGGCAAGCTCGAAAGAAGTCAGCTGCAACCAAGGGGCGTCCGGGCTACCGATGACCGAATTGTCGGGGGCGACCTGCTTGGCAGATGGAGGGGGTCGGTCTGCTAATCCGTCCACGACCGCGACCATGGCAACGGCTGCCGCTGCTTTAGGTGTCTGAACTGGCTGAACTGGCTGAGAGGGTTGAAAGGGTTGAGACGGTTGCGATGGTTGCGATGGTTGCGATGGGGGGGAGATTTGAGAGACCTGGGAGACCTGGCGGGGCTGCAAGGGCTGCGAGGGCTGCACGACAGAAGGAGTCGGCTTGGTTGTCTTCGGAGTCTTGGGCGTCTTCTGTGGCCTGACGACTTTGATTCGCGGGGCGGGTGTGGCGGCCACGGGTATAGGGCCAGGCGCAGACTCAATCTCGTCGTGATCGGAGCTCTCCTCGCTGTCGGAAGAGTAGGGCTCGAAATTGTCGTAAGGCGCGAGGACTTCGCCGGGAACAGTTATTCTTGGAACAGTCGGGCGCCGCACTCTTTTGTTATCGGGACCCAGTGTGACGAGCTTAGGCACTCTCGTGACCTTGGGTGACTTGGAGACCGCGACGGGGCTTTTTTGTTCTTCGGCCGCGGGATAGTTCTCGAGCATCGTCTCCAGTTTGGATAAGATGGCCTTGGCTCGGTGATAGTGGCGGGTCACATTCTCAGACATGCGCACCGCCTCGGCATGTGCGAAAGTTCTTGAGTCAACTATGCGGCGGAGAGCCTGTGATATATCAGCCCGCAGCCCAACGGGAGAGGGACGTTCGTCGGCAGGCATATTCGGGAGCTGGCCCCAGGTGCAGGTGAGGTTATGGACGGCTTCGGAAGCATCGTAGTAAGACTGGTCGAGCTCGCCAATCAATGTGAGAGATCGTATTATGTCGGAAGGTAGGTACTCGGTGAAATCAAGGAAGTCTGTCACGGTAGACTGCGCATCGGGATCGGCGCGGATCTCGAGGGGTTTGATGGAGTTGTCCATGGAAGCAATAGCTTGTGGGATTTCGTGTTCCATAGCCGTTTTGTTCTTTGGTGAGACGCCCTCCTCGGCCTTTACTGAGTCGCCGTTTGGTCCCATGATGGTTCGGGCGCGGCGCAGGGAGGAGCAGTGGACTGGCCCCCGTCCGTAAGGATGAGTGGTATTGATGGCAAGTGGAGCCAAGGAAGCCGCGGCGTGAGGAGGGTCGTTTCTTTTTCTAGTCACATCGGCAGTATAGAGGTTGTTCGAGAGGGATAGTGTCGACAGGAAAGATGAGAAGGAAATCAGGCCGGTAGGCTGCACGGGCTCCGAGAAACTGAACTACCGTGAAGTGGTGTTGAAGTGTATGGATTGCGAGGAGGGTTCGTCGGGCAAGGCGCGTCACGGTCAAGCTTCCCATCAGCAGCATGGTCTGTGCGCCGTCACACTTCCCCACATGTGCTTAAATTCCGCGGTGCCAATGCACGGACTATCGTGAAGCCGACCCCGTGTATTCCCCAGCTTGTCTGACCCGGACATTTTGTGGAGTAGGTACGTACCTAGTCTCAGTGACCAAAAGGATCGAAGCGCTCTAGACGATAGAATTACGTAAAGTGATTCGATGCTTTTGTTAGACCACTGCACCGACGTACGGGCCATACCTTGATTATTACCCCTGTACCAGATACCGCCTTGAAGGTGGAATTAACGTCGGCTTGCAGAAAACGCGTTGGTTCCGAAATGACGGCTCTCATAACTTCTGTGAGAGAAATGATGTGACACGCAGTAGCATTTGTAGCGCTCTAATGCGGTGCTTCCTGATTTAGTCGTTTCGGTGACACGGTAGAATCCAATACATTCTCCCCGATGTCCAGTCCTCAATACTAGCTCAACGCAAGTAAGAGATGAGGAACGGTGACACATTGAGTCGACTACAAGTCACGAGGCCCGCTGGTGGAGGAAGATGATGTGAACACTTATGGATGTCGAAGAAATGCATATTAAGGAATATGGAACAGCAGAGAAACAACAGTCGCCGTCAGCCTACCCATTCTGTAAGAAAAGCCCATCGTCATCGTCGCATCGTTTATATTAACACAGCGGCAACCCTTTAGAGATTCTTTCTCCCGCCAATCGTCTCTGTGGCGTGCGTATCGTCCAACCACCCTCCCAATCGACGCCTCAGCGTCTGTCACCTCACCAGAGGTAAGGTTGGGGCCCCGATGATTGTCTCAATTTTGAAGGGTATTCAAGACACTGTCATTGTCGCCGATCGAACCAGTCTCATCTGCCACTGCCACACCGCGTTACGGCTACCACACCGCCGCAAGCCCACTTCATGGCTCTTCGCCGACAAAAGCCAATGCCACGCCCGTGAGGAATGACGCGACAACCCAGGGTCCGGCATAGCTCGCTGCCCCTCGTGGCTCCACGCCGCCTATTGTCATGAAGCACTGAAGGTATGTGCTGATTCCTGTCATGACCATGACCACAGCTGTCCGCAGAATGATAACCTTGCCCCTTGTGGTGTAGCCCCAAAGGTTGTATAGCACCGTCTCCCCCAGAGTCGCCGTCACCGGGTCGAACTGCTCGAGTTTCCCATCCTCTTTGCTGCGACCCGTCGCCGTGAAGGGCGTGAAGATAAAGCTTCGTGCTGCGAATCCAAAGGCCAAAGCTACAGGAAGTAGCGATAAGTAGTTGGCCGTGTAAGCAGGCGTCAGGTCGGGGAGCCCCTCGAAATACACCGCAAAGCTGGTCGGCAAATACGTATGCAAGGCCGAGAAAAGTGTGATGCCGTAGATCATCGCGGATAGGAGGGTTGTGTAAGCCTGGATCGGAATGTCCGTCAAAATTTCGCGATTGGCTACATTCTTGGCCTCTCGGACGTGGGCGCCTGAGAGTGGCCGTAGGAGTTGGAAAGGCGCGAACGTCGACAGCATCTCAATTCCAAGGGCTGAAAGCGCGGTTGGCGTGCTAATGTTGTAGAATGTTGAGAGCAAGGAAATCTGCGACATGCGTACCAGGGTCAGCGCGATACAGCGTCTCGTTCTCTTCGCTACAAGAGCAGGTTGTCGAAGAGGAGCATGCGTGGCAGGGATGGGGTTGGGCTGCTGCTTGGGGAAGCTTGCGGTTTGTACTGGTGATAAGAAGGAAGTGAATGTTTTGAAGGGGAAGGAGAAGGAGGGTGCAAACATACAGCCGGGCCATGCGCAAGTAGATTTAGCGCAGCGACATCCAAGCTATCAAACCCGGCAAACCACCCCAGCGCAAGTTCAACGCTGTCATATGGTCAGCTCCCGCCCAGTGTCAAGAACTCGAACCATGCTCGGAAGAACGTCGACAACTCACATCCTCCAGCCTGCTAGGGCCCCGACCTCCTCCCATGTATTCAAAGTCTTCCCGACATTGGCAAGTTCTCCGCCGCTCCACTCGTTGAGAAAGCTGTATCCCAAGCTCGAGATGCTGAAGCTCAAAATCGTGACCAAGGGAAACTGTACAGCAATGGGTAGCTTGGACGGGCGACCAGGACGTGACATCGCGGTCGCATCTGGGACCACCCCAACCGCAGCTACAGAGCCGTCATCCCGATTTGTTTCCAGAATCTCGAGATTCGTCGCAACCGATTCCAGCGCGCGGGCCGAGTCGTCGACGTTCAGGGCATCCCCATCCAGGTTCGCGGAGGTGGTGCCCACCGCGGGGTCTTTCTTCGCGGATCGGCGCAAAGGCGGCATTGCAGTATAATCGCGGGGACAACGATATGGGTAATTAGTACACCTTGTCGGTGCGCTCGTTTTCCAAGGAAAGTAATGTAACCCCCAAAAAAGAGGAAGAGAAAGAGTGTGTTTTAGATAGATTGAAGGCAATAAGAAAAGTAGGGAAGGCTATCGCGATTTTGAGGACATGTATGACGGAAAGGAGGCAGAAGTGCAAACCTAGTGGTAATGGTAGCTGCTGACAAGGCTGGGCCTTGAGGGACTGGACGAAGGATAGCTGAGGGGCAGCTCCGATGATGTGTGGGGTTAGTGACGTCGCTGGGGAAACGATCTTCTTCCCTGCTCTACACACGTGATGTTTGCTCGATTTTCATGTGGCTGTGCCCTTATTCCAGGACTTTCACAAAGCCTCACTCAAGCCCCAATCCAGTCAGCCTACGTTGTACCATTCCTCAACGCTCAATGCCCCCCCACTTCTTCTACAATGCTAACTGCTGGATTGGACCTGCATAGCAGCACATGGGTCAAGAACGACTTTCACCGTCCTTTCCTTTCCTTCCAATGGGTCACGATGAGGGGACCCTTGCCAGCTGCCGAAGAAGAATTTTTCTCCGGTTTCTCTCTCCATCTTTTTTTCCTCATTCTTTTTTCTCTTCTTCCAAACGCCTCTGTTTCGTGTTCTATGCCACGGTCTTTTAAACTTCTTGCTCTACCCGGAGAAACGTCCTGCCGCAGCATTGTTACGACTCTGGAGACACAATCACCCCGTTGGACAAAAGGTGCCCGGCTTTGATTTGCTCGCTTATACGTCATGAGCACTGTAACACCATCACAAACCCCGGTTTCCAACGCGGAGCAATAAGGGTTACACATCACTGGGGTTTTCCAGGATACCATGAATATCTCGTCCTCCCTCCGGATAATTGATGTCCGGTCGTCTTTCATCGATCCTCATTTTATAGGGTCTTCCTCGAGTTCAAGAGGTCTAGGTTCTCTAGCCAATATGAGCCGTCCTCCCACAAGCTGATGCGTCTTGGTGTTAATAATCATCACAACAACGGGGAAGACGACGAGAATACATCTGTCGATGGTATCCGCTTGTTCGGACTAGCTTCATATTTGTCAGGTCAGCTCGACGCACTCTCCCGTCCCTCACTTTAACCTCGTGGAGATGCTCTCGCGATCGCCTGCTGCTGTCGTCATCAGAGGCGTCGGGCTCCCCACTCTTCGGTGCTGAGAGATCGGCCTGATGCGGAGACTCGACCACCTTTACAGGGTGTGTTTAGTATATTTGGTGGTACAAATGAAATGCATAACGCTCCCCCTTTCTCCCTATATTTCCATTCCTTGTCCACGTGTGCTGCTCACTCTCACCTCCTATAAGTGGCACCACGCGTGTTCCCGTGTCAGGAAATCCAAGAAAAAAAGACCATTACTCTTCCATGCGACCGAAGACGCCATCGTCGTCTTCATCGCTCCGAGACCGCGACCGCCGATCGAATTCGTCCTCGTCCATAATGCTGTCACTCTCCTCGGTCTTGGTGCCCCTGCGAATCTCGCCCCGCGTGAAGCTTTCGGGCTGCCGCGCTGGGTAGCTGCTTAAAAAGCCTGTGCTCGACAGCGATGCTGCCTGATCGAGATACTGTGTCGGCAGAGGTGGCACCGGGGGAACGTCGGCAGCCGACAGATTCGCCATGCGCGACCCGTTGTTGCTATTGAAGCTGCAGCTCAGCAGCTCCACTGCCGCCGCCAGCTCGCGATCTTCTTGACCCGTGGCATTCCGGCCGGACGAAGGAGGCCGTCGGTGGTCGTGGCTCATCTGTCGGAAGTGAGAGAAGCCCGTAGCGTTGGGCATGCTTCCTGTCACGAGAGGGTTGTGCAAAGACCCGTACGACCGTCCGAATCCGAACCCGCTTCCGCTGCTATATCGCTTGGAGAATGTGCCCGATGCGGCGGAAGCACTGAATCCATCCAGTTGTGGAGGCGGTGTAGTGTCGGCAGAGCTATGACGCGAATCAGAGTATCCTGATACCGCGGGAGACGCGGTTGATTCTGGCTCGCTAGGGAAGTCCCTTGCAGACTCGGGAGGGCTGGTGGTCTGGGCCGCAGTGGCATCTTCATTCTCCTTGCCGTTCATGGCGACCAGCACCGACGCAGCCTCAAGGAGTTGGACTTGTTGGTGCTTGGAGATGAGCAGCTTGGACGTTAACGACCATTCAGGAGTGTGTTCCCACCTGGCCAGGAATCAGTCATTGGGAACCCACACCAGAGCGAACGACGTCGAGGGGACAGGCAGCACACAGGCGGATCCCTCCGTGGGGCCGGATGACACAGTCGGAAGGTAGGAATACGACGGAACAAGGCAGTGGACGAGGGAGGGGAAGACGAACAAGTGTTTGGCCAGGCAGCTGCTATGCTTGTATCCCTTGCCGCATGTTTCGCAGCGAAGTTCGACACGATTGCTTTTGCGGCGCTCCTTGACGAGAGCCTGGCCATCGCTCGCCCTTCGAGCACGGGCCTTGACCAATTTTGTATTCTCCTCGTCCGCAGAGCCGTCTTGGGGTTCGTCATCAATGGCATTTTCCGGCACTTCTCTTTTGTCCATGTGGAATCTGTGTGTTGGCAGACTCGATGGAGGGGAAAGGAGACCATCTCCAGCGGCGCCGCGGGCAACAGCACCTCTGGATATGGTATGTCGACGTATAGACATGGCCGACGCTCCATCGCCGCCCGCTTCCTTGAGAGCTGCCGCCACTGCTGCCACATTCGCTGCGGGGTTGCTCATGGACTTTCTGCGAGTAACACGGTGATTGGCATTTAGCGAGGTGCTAAGAATCGAGTGTGAATTGTTTCGTGAATGGGATTGTCGAGTAGTCATGAAGCCCGAGGCGGGCGCTTGCGAGGGTGAGGATCGATGGGCCAATGGCCTCGAGGTCTGCTGTATATCCTGAACATAGAGAAAGGAATGGCACCGTGTCAGCTTTTGGTCCTTATGTAGCGACGAGTGTTACAATGCAGTGTATGATTGCTCAGCTCTCCTCCTTTCGTTCAGCCCAGCAGAAGCAGCAAAGGACAAGAGGCCAAGTCAGTGCCTCCTGTGGTACCTGCGGAACGAAGCGTACCTTGGACGAGGCCATTGCCGCGATCTGTGAGGATCGTGTACGGCAATAGGAGTATTTAAAGATAGCCTCGAGCACGTCACAAGGAAGCATGCACAATCAAGTCCAACGGCGTGGCTGTGGTCGTGGTCAAAACGTTGCGTGGTGGTTTCTGGTGTAGGAAGACAAAGAGTCGCGAGACACCTAAAGACCACAGGAACAATATTATTTTGGGAGGAGCAGTTGCAATTCAATTCCACCAAAGGGTGTCTGTGTGCAAGGAGGGAGGGTGCGAGTCTAGCAATGTCATTCTTACTGTGCCTTGTTGGAGGCACCAGCCGATAGTGGCATGTGGGCAATTCAAGTACATAGACCACCCAAAGATGGGCTGGGCTGGACTCTTGGGAATGGCCATGGTGGATTTCCATTGCTCACCTTGTTCATAACGAGAAAGTGTACTTCTAGGATGTACTTCATTCGCACATCGTAGCGGCTTGGACACGTAGATCCGTTAGTGAGGACGGTACTTATCGATTGGAGGGACGTGGAGCCGAAGGCGTCAACCGGTCTCCCGCTATCTTGACCCAAGCAAAGTCTTGCGGGGGGATTGATATGGAGTACGTCCTGTTAGGTACTTGGCCTCCGAGGAAGGGGGGGGGGGGGATCAAATGGCCCGAGAGGTCAATTCGGAGTACCATGTACAGGACAAGCGACGGACTCCGTACACGGTAAATTGCTGAAATAGGAGGGCGTTTCCCGAGGCTTTTTGCCTACACTGGTCTACCAGTGTCCAACGCTTAAGTCGCGGCAAATGAGAAACGTCCCATCGAGAGCTCTCCTCAAGATCTCCATCGGACGGAAAGCGAAATGACATGACAGGCAAACTGCTCGCTCCGTTACCCATCAGTCGAGAGGCAGGTCTGGTGACTTTTTGGTGTGGATGACAGACAGTAGGCATTAAAGAACATGAACAATGCTGATTGGCACAGCCCCTCTAGGTAAACTAAGCCTAAGGATGATTAAGGCCGACCATGGTCGGGGAGGTGGAAAGGTGACTAGGTGAGTAGAGCAGCGGGGAGGAGGAATGGGAACTGAGGGGAACGGCTGGAGCTGGTGTTGCTTAGGGGGGGGACTCTGCCCGCTGGTGAGGGGTGTGTACAACGTAGAGGCTTGGGCAAGGAAGAGGGGGGGCGTGGAGTGCTATAATAAGCCTGTGTGGTTGCCCTTTCCGGGTAATGATTATAATAATAATTCATACAGGGTACGCTGTGTGAAGACTTCCGCTCACCCTGGCTCCGATTATAATACTGTGAAATACACTGTAAGGTCATACGTTGTAATTCAGCCAACTAATTATGAATAACTTCGTAAGGTACCTTAGGTGCTACCCGTACGTGCGGAGTAGGTAGTAGTTGTCCTTGAGACCTTGATATTGCCGTGACCTTTGATCTCTGTTTTTCTTACCTTTTTGTTGAGGCGGCGAAGAGGGTGTCTTGGGTTTGAACTTGCACAATTTTCTAATAATGGTAGGAAGGAATGCCACTCAATGATGTCCAAGATGATGTCCAAGACAAGCTGACTTTCAAGGTTGTGTGTGCCAGGTTTTAACGTCCCAGACAAAGGAAAAAGCTGCCTACTCGAGTTGCTCTATAAGGTAGGGTATGCGCTTATTCTGTAAAAATGAAGTGGATGTATGTCCTATTCAAAGATAAAGAGATAAATATTATACGGTACGAGTCTAAGGTGTAACTGGTGTTTAAGGCATATCACTGGGGCTATACGTAGTCGCTTTTAACTTGCCTTTCATTTGTTTCCTTAGCGAAGGGGGGAATAGGAGCTCGGTATGTTATAAGCTAATAAGTGTGCTAATCATTCTCAGAATAGACAATATATGACCTAACTTTTCCAGTGCGAAAAGGAATAGATACGGACTCCTCAATCGCGAGCAATGGCACTTACTGGTAGAAGCAAGCGTGATAAGGAACTTGCTACATCTTCCAGGATAACAGGAGTTTAAGCATTCGAGTTGTAAAAAAGTATGGAAATGGTATGTTAAACAGATATTACAGGATCAACATAAATGGTTGGACTTGTCAGTCACCGGAGCCATATCCGACCCGAACCTTATATCTTGTGTCTACCAAATCGGACTTGCTGATTCCATATTTCCTATGGAGAGCAACGAAGTGTATAGATGACAATTAATTATAAGCTGTAGTCTTTTATGTTATCTTCTTGAACACACGAAGTAGGTACACCGTATCCATACATTCAACCGAAGCAATACATGTCGATCTTGGTACAGTGTGGGTTTAAGTAAGACAAGACGCAGGTAATTATGCAACGGTTAGCATTAATACAGTTTTGTGTAAAAGACAGCGGATACACAGTGTTTAGTCCTTCACCCTAATAGCGGCCGGTCAGCTGGGCATTTCTCTACTCAGGAGTAACCTTTTACGGTTCTTACGACGGACTTTTAGCTAATTAGTCACGCCTCAATCTCAACTCCTCATTTCGTGACAGGCAAAGCCTACCTTAAAAAGAATAAGATGATTCCACCGTTTTCGATTTATTAACCCGTTAGTTTTTTCTGGTTTATATTCTCTGTTCGCGTCATTGCTCGTAGACAGGTGATCAGGTCAGAAGAAAAGACGCTACAGAATATACCAAGTACCTATAAGACTAAATCTTTACACTTTCCACGTTGTGCGATATGCGATGTACGAATTGCCGTACAGACGATAATAGTGGCAATAGAGGGACTTTTTCCGTTGTTCCATTTCCTTGCGCTAACCATAATCGATGGCGTCTTGACAGACCCGTTTTCGATCTCCCGTCTTCCGTCTACTTCGCACTTCATCCGCCGCCAACCATTTTGACGACTGCCTGAAGCCGTACCTGATTGACCAAGTGACGTACCCGTACTTTATAAGGTAATGTGCCTGCCTGCCTTGGTACCTGCCAGTGGATCATGGGTTTCCCCATCATGGGCAGGTGGTTCAGGTGCCCCTGGGCCGGGGCCCACCCACCTGAAGAGATCCAGGCGGCAGACGCATTCCCCCCTCATCATTCGGTTATTCTGTTCACTTTCCTCGCTTGATCACCGTCTCATACCCATACCTAGAAAAAGCTGCCGTCTGCTCCTCCGTCTCAGCCGCTGAAAGCCTCGTCAACAACGCAACGTCTTAGCCCTTCCTGGGAAGCCGTCTTCCTGGGTATCAACTTGGCTTCTGGAAACCAGGCCACATCTCGATGAATTTAAATTGCTCCTGATTTGTGGAGTGAACTGTATCTCTATCCACAGCCATAAATTCGATTCGATTCGTCCTAGGTGATACTTCACCTCGCCATCGTCTCATTCATGTGCGCAATCTGGTCCATCGCAGACCGCTCTGCTCTTTTTCTTCGGGGTTGGACAACATGACAACCATCCCGACCCGACCGAAGTGGTGTACCACGATCGCCCATTCAGCTTCGTTGGAACCGTAGTGAAGCCCAACGGCAAAGAGGCGAGTCGAGTCGATGACCACTGTATTGATGGTTCCCTCTCCTTTTCGCCTCGCCTCAACACGGTTCCGTGGCGTAGGGAGGGATTCCATACATATGTATGACATGATGACATGCCCATCCATGGCTGCTACACACTACTTCGTACAGCGTCGTCCAACCCGGAGAGATCGTCGTTAGATAGGCCCGTCCAGACTCGACAGAAGAAGAGTGCGCAAGCTCATCCGGGGAAATAGACAAGAGCTGTGTCTCATCATGCTTGAAGCGAATCGATAATTGTAGAGCAATACTGATCATGTTGGCACACACTCAGTGGACCTTCCAACGAATTCATGCATGGAGATACGTTGTAGACTCCCACATCCTTCAGTCGAACATCCGTTTCATCCCTAAGGTACCGGTCAGAACGTTGTAACTGCGGACACCGGCTGGCAGACCTGTTGTGCCTGGAACCCCTGGTCAATGAATTATTCGGTGACGCACCAGCCAGCGACTTCAAGCGGTTTCTGGATTAATCGCTCAACGGGGTGCTCTCAATCCGAACCGTCTCGGAGAACGTGTCTGATAGGTAATAATTGGGTTATCCCCCATTATTTTATTGTGGCTGGAAAGGACTGCGAACATTTCATGGAACTTGGACAAGTTGTTGTTATTATTATTATTATTATTATTATTATTATTATTATTATTATTATTATTATTATTAAACAGACCTGAGACTGATAAGACATACTACTCCATGGTAAGTTAAGGTAATAACCACGTACTAATAAAGTACACTAAATTGAGGTACCTTACTTAATAAGGTACTGGTCAGGAATGATCCCCGACGCCGGCGATAAGACAACTTGTCAATTCCAGCTGTTGTCTGATACCTTATACGACCTACGACCATAGCATGCCTAAGACCGGACAGAGAATCAGATAACCAGAGAAAAGAACACATTACATCTCGCTTGGGGAGATAAAAGACGATTCCATCACATTCCAGACGATATCAATCTGACACCATCTGACGCCATCCTTTTGTATCAACGCTTGTTTCTCCTTATCTGCGATGCCTGAACAATACCAAAAGGTCGGCCGCGGCGGTGCGGGTAACTACATGTCCCAAAGCCAGATCGAACAGGCGCGAGGAGCATCAGACAATGTAGGATCAAACTCCCTTCCCCCCTCTGTCCCTCCCAACTTTGTCACTGGCCCTTTCATCGAGACTCTGCCTTTATCCTTCTGATCATACTGGCTCCGGCTCACATCGTACCCCTTCTGCCCGTCCCAGGATCTTGAGGCGCAGAGAATCACCACCAACCCCGCGACCACGAGCGTGTCCAACTACGCCCGCACCGGACGCGGGGGCTCGGGCAACTTCCACGACCCGGCGACGCTCCCAGTGGTCGAGCCGAAGTCGGAAGAGACCAAGACGGTGCAGCCAACTAGTAGGACCTACGCGTATAGTGGGCGCGGGGGGGCGGGGAATTGGGGAACTGCTGCCGCCGCACCCGGGATCCAATCCACTCCGGCCCCGGAAGAGGTAGAGGCGCTGGAGCGGCAAGTGGTGCAGGACGTCGAAGCCGGGTTGGCGATGCCGCCCAGGGCGCATACACAGCAGACACGGGTTGTCAAGGAGGACGATAGCAACAAGTAGGGCCTTTTTCGGGGGGGGGGGGGTTTGGTCTTGTTCTCTTTTCTGGTTTCTTCGCGGCGGCTATGTGGGGGGGGGCTATACATAATACGGCATTCGCAGGCCAGACAGGTTCTTGAGCTCGGGGCGAATATAACTGCTTAATACATTCGGTGACTCTTTCATGCTCCTCCTCGCGTTGCACGACATCCACATTGGTCTTCACTATGATGGTCTCACAATGAAATCGAGACCAGACACTCAACGGACACTGGCCGCGCCGCTGAAATCTCCTGCAAAATAGTCTTCACCACACGTCGGAGAGGTCTCGGAGGAATCAATCTTGAAGCCTTTTGTTTTGTGTCTTGGTATATCACAACCGCTAACGCCAGAAGTCCCTCATGGGAATGCACATACTGTCAGCCCCTATCCATAACGCCAGACGACGAATAGACAACGGAAATATCAACACAGCCGCCATACATCGTGGGAGCTTCAATCGACCTCCATTTCATCTTCATCACCCTCCTCTCCAAACGACTCGAAATCGTCGTCTTCGTCCTCGTAGCGCATGCCGGCACCCTCGCGTTCTTCGATGACCTCCCCGTCGACCGTGACCCGCTGCCGCACCTTCTCCTCGCCGAACACCTTGCTCTGGACCTTCTTCTTCTTGGAGATGACGTCGACGGCCTCGGCGCGGTCGGCGGCGGCGATCTCCTCCTCGGTGGCGCCCTGTTCGGCGAGGGCGCGCTTCTCGGAGCCCCGCAGACGGGGTAGCAGCATCTGGTTCTCGGCGACGAGGCGGCGGGCGGTGGCGAGATCGCGCTCGCGCTTGCCGGCCATGCGCTTCTTGTAGAAGACGCGCTCGCGGCGGGAGCGGATCCCGGAAATGCGCTCCATCGCCTTGAGGGTCTTCTGGACCAACTCGCGGTCGTAGCGCACGGGCACGTTGCGGCGGGCGGCGAATTGGAGCGTCGAGTCGACCGTCATCTCCTTGCCTGTGTGTCGCTTGTTTTAGCGGGAGTTGAAGAATTGTAGGGGGAAAAAAAGGGAAGGGGGTTTGTCGCTGCGTGGTGGCACAGAGAGATGTAACGTACCCTTGGCGGTTCGGTATGCCTTGGTCCAGCCAACCTTTCTCGGGTTGCGCTTCATCTTGAATGCCTTTATTTCCATATGTTTAGCTTTCACGGTTGTTTTACTTTGGTCCTATTGAATCCATAAGAGGCGTACCTTGTGGCATTTACTCCTGTGTCGCACCGCCCATGTTAGCCCTGTAGATAGAATTTGGATGAAAGAGGACAACGTACCGACAAAACCGAAATGACCTCCCATCATTGCGATTGAATGTGATTCCCTACATTGGATATTAGAGCCCCTGTCTACCAATGGTAGCAAAAGGCATAGATCCGTACCTTGGAGGGATATGCCTTTGTTGGAGGGGTTAGCGAGGGGTATAGCGGAAGCGAGGGGATGACAATCGGAACTCACAGGTCTGCTACAGAAATGACACACTTCAATCCTCATCTTGATGTGGTTGAAGAGGACTCAGCGAAGGGGGAGGAGGACCAGCGACGGGAGCAAGAGAGAGACAAGGAGGTAGAACTCGGTTCGGTGTACATGGATCTTCACTTTGGTGAGCGGTCTGAACGAACGCTGAAAAAAAAAAAAAATCAAGCTCCGGTTGGCTATCTTATCTTATCGCACCGGGAATTGTGGCAATGATGGGGAACCAAGGTGGGTCGAAGATGGAGCCGAGAAAAAGCCGGCGCCGGCGCAAGGAGAAACAAACCGGACTTGGATTTCGCCAACCTCAACTCACCACTTCCGAACGTCCAAACTTTTTGTTGCTTCCACCACCAAACATCAAGCATCAATTCGTCGAAACGCATCATCCTGCAAACATGGCGTCTGCTCTTGCCTGGGGAACCGGAGTCGCCGTAGCTGCCTTCTTGGTACGTCCCAGCAAACGGTGTACGACGAGACAACGCGAACGCTAACAAATGCTTGACAGGGCCGGGCAGGTCTCGTGGCATGGCGGCGATCGCGCGGCGGTGTTGGCGCGATGGGCAAGGCCTTTTACAAAGGCGGTTTTGAGCCCAAGATGAATAAGAGAGAAGCGTCGCTCGTCCTCTCGCTCAAGTAAGCCAGAGCATCCTCCTTGGACTTTTTGAGAGGAAGACAAAGTGTCCTAACGGGCATTCCCTCTACGTAGCGAGCGGGCCATCACCAAAGACAAAGTACGCAAAGCGCATCGGACTCTCATGTTGTTGAATCACCCCGACCGAGGCGGCAGCCCCTATTTGGCGACCAAGATCAACGAGGCAAAGGAGCTCTTGGAGAAATCAGCATCATGACAGAACTACGAACTTCCCGCCCTTTTTTTCGAGGGAAGCTAAGACGTTTTTCGAATGTCCCCCGGAAGGGATTCTGCGGGCAGCTCTATGTGGCTGCCCCTTGTACTTGTAGCAACAGGCTGGTTCGAGACATAGCGATGGCGTTTTTGATTCCGGTTTGGTTTCAATGCAATACGCATTCCGTGCTGGGATGAGTAGAAGGATGTTTGTTAGATATGATACTCAGGGCTGACAAGCTCGGTCTTTTTCTCTCTCCTCATACCCCTCTCAGCTTGGCTTTTTCCTTGAGCGTTTTCAGCTCTGAAGGAATGAAATGGGTCCTTTCGAACCACGTTTCTCAGACTGATACCCTTCTCCTACGCATACATGAAGTTGGATTGCCGGCAAGCAGAGTGCGCCACACTACCGCAGCACTGGCATAATTCAACTTCATCCAGGAAAGAAGTAGGTGGAAGTCCACGGAAATAATACCATTGGGTAATATACAAGCTTTGGGGCCAGGTAAGTAAGGTAGCTAGCTAGCTGGTGCAGGAGGATGAGGATTGTATGCTCATACAGATTTGCCTTACCTTGTCTTCCCCTTGTGGTTTATGTACTTACTCATAGACAGGAGGAGATCAGTTCTTTACTGTCCTAGTAACCTGGTCTTCACGTCAAGTTATAGAGGGCAGTACTATTATAACCTGTTATTACACACAGATATTGATGGGATAAAAGGTAACTTCTCTAAGGTACTGTCTTGAATTTCTCTGTTGATATTGTGTGCCCTTCTTTCTGCCCGGAGTCACGTCTTCCATAACCACCTACGGACTTAAATCCGACTCCGCTCTTTTCAATTGTTCTTTGTCGTCATGTTTGCTTTGAACTATCGTTACCAGGTAGTACGGTGCTACTACTTGCCCCCTTCTAGGTACGGTAGGAGGATAGGTGAAGGTACCTGCCTTTGAAGGATGCTTGAGCGCCTGGTCGACTATACCTTACCTTCTTCCCCCGTACCTGTCAACCCTTATCTGGACTTCAACCTTCCAAACTCCTTTAAGCCGCTGACTTCTGGCCTGGAGTGTCTTCACCACCACTTGATACTTCGTATCTGTCAGCACTCTGCGCTCCTGAGAACTGTTGGTTCAACATGGAAGACCACTTCACTATGGATGATCGTTGGGGGCATATGGAGGGCATCCTTGGCCCCTATTATCCCGGAAACGATCGGCTTGAAGACGAAGTCTCGTCGATCCCTGAGTTCGATGCACATCCCCAGCTGATCGATCTGAACTATGTTCGCGAAGAACTCGAAAAGTCGGATAATCTGGCATCGGCTGCCATGAAGTCCAAAAAATCCGGCTCTTCATACGGTACCTACACGCCATTGCCTCCAAGTTCTTGCAACCCGGATCCCGCCAAGGCCCAGCTGCTCCTGAAGGAGGAGTTCCCTGATTTCTGTAGTCTGGAGATAGGCGAGCTCTCTGAAGAGGGAACGAACTTCGTCTCCTGGGATCTTGCCGTCCGGTACCCCCAACTGTATATTGGAATCCGAAACCGTCCCAGGGTATGTGGTCTGAGTTCTCTTTATCCTATTGAAGCGTCTCTGACATGACTTGATCTATCCTTTCTAGGCGACGCCGCTGTTTGAACGTATCTTCGAAGGTCACGTTTGGGATTTGTAGGTGTCCTGTTTTCTCCTACGTCTTCACCCCCTTCCAAGCTATTACCCCCCTCAGCTGACTTTCGTCCTCATCTTTAGCTTCTACATCTATAATCCCAAGGATCTACCGGCCTTCCCTAAGCTGTTTGTTCCCACCAAGCAGTTCAGCCATTTCCTGGAGTTTGTGAATGCCACTTTGGGCATCGTCCTCACCATTCCCGAAGGCCCGCCGAGTCAGAATTTCTTTGTCCACTTTGGTGCCCAGGGCACTCTCCGTCCACGCTATCTCGGCCGTTGCGCCAGCCAGTCGGAGTTCCTTGCCATCAAAGACCGGGTGCCCCCTGTTCATGACCAAGATGTCTGCGCGGGCGCCTCTCCCGACAGCATTGCGAGCCTTCTGGAGAAGCTCAGACTTGTTGAAAAGTCATCCAGAAAGAGCAAAGTCAAGACCAAGAAACAAACGAAAGCGGCGGAACAGCGCAGGGAAAGCCTTCATCTCGTTCAGCGGTGCTTAGGTCTTCGGCCAGCCGCACGCGGTCATTCTGATCCGAATGATTCTCCTCTCGCCTTGGACATCCACGGCGCCGTCCCGTATGGCCGAGACATGGACGTCGTCTTTGCGTCCATCGACATCGAGGTCGCCGAGCAGTCTCACAAGACCGTTCTCGAAGTTGGCATTTCCACTTTCGACTCTCGTCGCATCGTCGACGCCCCTCCCGGCGACACCGCTCGAAACTGGATGCCCTTCATCCAAAGCCACCATCTGCGTGTCTACGACTACCGCTTCATGTGCAATACGAAGTATGTCAAGGGCTGTCCTGACAACTTTAATTTCGGGTACGTCCACATGTTTCCCTAGGGTTTGATTAGACTTGGAAAACTAACCCACCGAAGTGAGAGTGAGATGCCCAAGCTCGCTAATCTTGCCGACCGCATCCTCGCCATCCTGTCCGACTGCAATAAACCGGACCACGACGAAACAGCACCTGAGGAAAACAGACAGCAACGACCCCTGATTCTTGTCGGGCACGGAATCACTGCTGATATTGGCTTCCTCGCGAACATGAACGTTGATCCTGTCGAAATGAAGGGTTTTGTCCAGTGCATCGACACTCAGGACATGGACCGGGCCTGGCGCAGTTTGACCGCCAGTCGCTCCCTCGGCACTGTGCTCAATGATCTCGATCTTGCCCACTCCAACCTTCATAACGCCGGAAACGACGCCGCCTATACGCTCCAGGCCATGTTGGGCTTAGCTGTCAGCGCCCGCCTGTCCGAGCTTGACGAGGCGAAGACTAAGACTTAACCTCGAATCCAAGGACCATTAGGGACCGGCTTAAGACATAGGATATCCGTGGGCAGGATACACTATACGTTTCGGCGTAACGAGGCTTGTCCAGTGTGAATGGGTGGAGGTCAAAGGTCAAAGGTACCCGTATAGAGTCTCTGCAACCAGGGTGCAGACAAAGGGAGGATCGCGGACTTGCCACATCAGATGTTCGCCATTTTTCTCCATTAAGAATGCTTGTCCTTTTGTATTTTATTTTATTTTAACAACACGGTAAAGTCATTGCATCGCGTGGACTTAGCTACTTTGCTTTGAGAAACTGAAGGCCGTGTTAGTTTGCGCATCCTCTGCCCGAGGGGAAGATGCATAGCAGAACGAGATGGGAAAGGGGGCAGAGAAGCCAGACGGACACAATGACATGATGATTGAGTCTCACATACCTCCTGTGCCTCCTCACTCGTGACACCTGACAGCTCTGACTGAGTCTGATCAATCAGTCCCAGCCGGCTCGTCCTAACCTTCCACCACATCTCACGTCGGTCGCCCCCCAGCTCGCCCGCCAATAGTCGCTTCTTGAAGTCCCGTGCAAAGGCGTTGTAGATATCAGGTTCATCCAATTCGATGAGTTCGGTGCGCATGACGCTCATGGCTTCGAGGGCGCGTGCGTACAGGGAGTCGCCAAAGCTGTCAGTCACTAGACCGCGGATGACCTCGCCCATCTGCTTAGAGGCCTCCTGGATGTGCTCCATATCCATAGCGGAGGAGACGGCCTGCTTGAATTCTGGGATGGCGTTGTCGCGGGTCACTAGGCGCGGGCGCTTGGGCTGCGCGTCGAGGAGGGCATCGACGTCCAGGCCAGAGAGGGGCTTGACGGTCTCGCGTTTGCGTTTCGATTTCGCCTTTGGTGGAACTGTGGAGGATTTCCGAATTGTCAGCTCGGAAGAGAGGTAATAATTCGGGGGCATTGATGGAGGGGAAGAGAAACTCGGCAGGACAGGATATGCAAACGTACCTTTCTTGACTTCGGCCGCTTCTATGAGGCTGTTAATCTCTCGCTTGGACATCGCGATGAGGTCCTCTGGAGGGGTAGCGTAGCGGACGAGAGTGGGTGGGATGGGTTCGATTTTGCCGTTCGATTTGAGCGCGCGGTCACGAACGGCTTGGTTGATGCGGTGGATGACAGGGTTGAAGGACTCATCAATAGGAGCGTATTCCGCAGGTTGTCTGGTGGAGACGCAAGGTCGGTTAGCAGCCGTTGTAAGACCCAGGCTTGATCGACTCGTTGAGAAAAGGGGCTGCTTACCCATTATCATTCTTGCCAAACGTATCCAAATCCATCGCATCGACGTAGTTACTCATAGCGAATGAAAGCTCGTCGGTCGGCAGTAGGCGATGGTTTGTAAGAGTTTGGCCGGTAACAGTGACGACGCGGTCCAGGGGCGGGAACTGGTATGAGCGGACATCCTCAGCGAAAGGGAGAGGGACGTCGTAGAGGCATTCGAAATCCGGGTCTACGCACGGAGCGAGGAGGACAAGCAATGGGTCCTTGCCGTCCTTGAGGACGATGCGGGCGACGGCGTAGCTAGAGCGCTCATAGAGGGCGTGGATGAGGGATGAGAGGGCCAATCGGGAACGCTCGTCGTACTTGCTTGCCACGGTCATACAAGATTCTCCCATGCTCAAGAAGGGTTCATACTAAGAATGCGTCAGTTGTCAACATATCAATGGGTTTTTTTTTCAAGGGCGAAGAGGTCTGGTCTGTTGCCAGGAGAGATGTACCTTGTCATCGGCGACGAAGCCCAGAATGGAGAAGCTCTTCGTGGTTTCGAGCTTGGTGATGTTCCACTCGGATTCGCTGATATGGACTGCCGTCCTGCCATACTCGTACCCCTTGGCCAGAGAGTCAAACTCGACATCCCGCTTACCGCCAGGGGCCTTAGGATCATCGACCTTGTAGTTTCTGGCCTGTTTGACGGCGGCGAAATTAGTGATTCCCTCAATCCCCTCCATCTCCTCGCCGTCAAGGTGTTGGGATTGCGTTGTTTGTTGTCCGGATTTAACGACGACGGTGCTCGCGGAGGGGGGCGCAGCCAACTTTGTCTTGAAGTAGCGTTCGACATGGATGCTCATAGGGGACGGGTGTTTGGGGTCCTTTGGGTCTCCCAACGTCAGAAGCCCATCATACGTTTTGTACGGCCTAGTTGTCTTGATACGCGGATTGTCCACTTCGTCGATGGCTTCGGCAATTGTAGCGAAGTGAGCATCCTTGCATCTTGACACTAGGTCTTTCAGAAGCGCTTCATTGTGTTTCTGTGCTGCCATTAGTGATGTGCTCACAAGAGGTTCTCCCGCCCTCGATGTGCCAACCTTCTGTGTCGGCTTGTCTTCTTCCTTGAAGCCGTATTCTGGGTCGTCAAAATCCACGCCACTTGAGACCATCGTGGTTAGTTTCCCCCTCAGCTTGCAATTGCAATAAATGCATTACCGATCATACTCACAGTACAATCACTTCAACACCGTCCTCGTCCGCCTTCTCGACGATTTGGTCCATCCCATCGGCATCAATAGGGGCCGTGCCGTCGGTAATAAGATACACCCTTCGTGTGTACTTGAGTTTCTTGGTAAAAGTGGACAACATCTGGAGGGCCACGACAATGGCTGATAGAGCGTCACCAGTCTCAGTGTTGCTCGGTTTGATGACGGCCTGTAGGTCCTTGAGCGACGACATGGTCATGGGCCCTATCTCTTGTAGAATGGAGATGTTTTCGTAACCAGCCTCATCCTGGATGCTGTCGATGTGTCGTGTCTCATCAGTCCTCAGCCCGATAACACCAACCGTCCAGGTTTTGCGCGATGCAGCCACGATGGTGGTGATCTTGTCCCATACATAGCGCAAGCTGTAATCAAGGTCAGATTGGACACGGCCATTGTGACAATCGCCCATTGGTGTGCCAACGTCGATGATGAACACGGATGCTTGCTTGTCCGCCATGCTGGAAGGGATCCGACATGCGTGTTCAGGTGAATATCGAGGACATGAACATGAGGCTGTGGTGCAGGAAAGAGTTGTGTTCAAAATGCCGATGCTTTTAAAGGAATTACTTCGAAGGACACTGAGTTGAGAAACACCAAAACACCAAGACAGGTCAAGCTTGAATACTCCAATGTTTATGAGCAAGGTAGCCGGCGCCGCTTGTTTAGGCAGAAGGCGGCTCCTGGGAGGGACCCTTGTAAGCAGAGTTGACGTTGCCGACACGCGGGCCAAGACAAGTGGGTGAGACGCGACATCACGTGATATCGCGATACGTTACCTGGCGGGGATGGCGATAACTGATCAGCTACCACAAGCACAGGCCACGTGTGGTCGTCATGATGATCCGTGCAGATGTTAGTAGCAAGCATCATTAATCCCTCCTCAGTAAATATCTCGACAGCCAGAACACAACACCACAATAATTTGTTCGAATCTTCTCTTATATCATCTTTGAGGGAGGATCCAAGACCGTCACTCACAATGGCTAACTCGGGCGTATTCTCGTTGGCCCCGTACCACATCATCTCGTAAGCTCATTCAAGCTTCATCGTCGAGCATCGTAGCTTATACCTCGTGTGAATGCTCATCTCTGACTTGATAACAGGTACGGGACCTTGCTTGGAACAACATTCTTTCATGTGAGAAACAACTCTGTTCCCTTTCGGATGGACAGCGCCCTGTCTGGTCAACAGAGCTGATCATTCATCCGTCTCGTCTAGAGCTTCATCAATGGCACGACCATGTTTCGCGTCCTGGAGCGGCCTTCGTTCTCCCTGGTGCAATCCCACCTCTTTCCCATCTACTTTACCCTTCAGACCGCCCTCCCTGCTGTCCTCGCTTTGACGTATCCCGGAAGCAACAACCCGTTCGGAGTGGCTTCGGGAATTGCGGGCATTTTCGACGGGTCGAAACGCTATTGCACCCTTCTCCCCATCGCCGCCATGTTCATCACTGGTGCCCTCAACTTGTTTGTCCTCCTACCTGCTACTAAGAAAGTCATGGCCGAGCGTCACGATCAGGGTAAGACGTCTTCCTCCCCCGCCCGCCCCCCTCTTCTGTAATAGAGGGGACTGCACCAGTTAACCTTCCGGACTCTACAGAGAAGAAGGACGGCAAGAAGAGCTACGACGCGGCCCCACATTCCCAGGAGATGCAGAAGCTGAACAAGCGCTTTGGTAAAGTGCATGGTATTTCATCGCTGCTTAACCTGACGACCTTCTTTGCCGCTGTCGCATATGGCTTCACGCTGGCGTCGCGGATCGCTTAGATTGACATGAGCGAGCTTTGTAATAACGCCACCTGCTTGCACCAAGGGGTAGAGCAGAGCATCATCTGCCTCACGATTCTGTATTGTACCAAAATCTCGACCACTCCATAACAGCTCCATAGGTCAGACCAGCATATCTATCCATCCTGACGCTAATCCTAAACTCCATCGCTTCGACGGTTGGCAATGGGGATGTTCGTGCCTTGGTTAAAAGATATCCAACCGAGTGACGTAGCCAAATACTCCGAGCGCCCCCAAGAGTCAGATATGGGCCCCCTCGCCAAAACACGACAAAAGAGGAAGAAAAGATCCGAGGAGGGCCCTGTGATCGATGATTTTACAACCTGATCAGCGGTCACACTGGCTGTGCACGATGCGACCCATGTCCTCAATGGAGCTCGTTCATGTTGCTCCGTCGTCGCTCAATGTTACGCAACTCGGCCGCCATGTCTTCACTGCTAGCGAAGAGCTGGCGCTTGGCTTTTTCGAGATTGACGGCGCGCTCCTCGTTGGCTCTCTTGTTGTCTCGAGTTGCCTGGGCGTCGTAGGACGTGAGTCCATTTTGAGATGGAGGTTTGAACTCTTTTGGAGACCTCGTTTGCATTGCTGTCGACTTCTCAACCTTGGTGGTTTCGATGCCTACTTTTGCGTGAATACCAGTCTGATCTCCCTGGGAGCCAACAGTAGACTTGTTGGCCTCATTGTCACGAGCCGAGGAAGACATGGTGTTGTTAGAAGGGAGGAGGGGGTCTGTAGATCCGAGACGTCGGGCCCGTCCGTCTGTAGGCGTCGGTGACAGGAGGGCGAATCGGGGACAGATTCCGAAATAAGAGGAGATTCAGCTGGGATGGCGGTCTTGATGAGCAATATGTGATGGATTAGCGCGAATTAGGCACGGAAACATGTAGTGGTGGTCGCAGAGCCGAGAAGGGTCTAAGGGAGAACTGTACGCCATAGCGTGGGAAGCGGAATCGTACCTGATGTGCCAAACTGGCATACGATATACAACCCGTAGGTGACCCTGCTAAGGATGTAGTCGTGGTGCAGGGGCTACGGGAATCTCCCGGGCAGATCTTGGGGCCAAGCTCTATAGATCTCGCAAGGCGAACCTATATATGCAACTGCAAGGCAAAACCGGTCCTTCGCGGGTTCGATTCGATGTCTCTTGACGCCCGGGGTTGAGAGTACAGATATATCATCTAGCCCTTTGGTTTATAATGCCCAAGACATTTCGAACGGAGGAGGGGTCCTAGAGGAAATTCGAAAAAGACTCGGGCAAGGCTTTTGTGCGCGAACTTTAATCCTTTCCAGTTTCGACACGACGCCATATGGCTTTTGTGGCAGCTCCTGGACACTCTTCTCCATGGTTATAGTTGTGATAAAGTTCCGTTCGTCAGTCGGGATGTTCCAATAAAGCAGGCCAAAAGGACGAGAAACAGCCTAAGGTACTAAACACACGAGAAACAACCTGCCTACCCGGGTTTAGGGGGGTATAGGACAGAGCCCGATAACTGGTCAGTCTGTCAACAGTCTTAGAACATCATGTCGACAGAAATTTCTCTGTCCTGGCTCTGGTCAGAGCAAAAGTCTCTGTCCGAGCTCTGACCTATAAACCCCCCCTCCCGGGTAGGTGGTCAGACGGACTACCCGTATACCAGGATATGAAATCGTCTAGTGAAAGGTGTCATATTCTATCACGTGAGCCACGGTATAGTGCTCTCCTATTAGTTAGAGGTGCCCTATTATCCTCGCTTAGAAGGTGGTAGATATATTTAGGACACGTATACCCGCCCCCTTTTTCTTTCTCTTTTATAGATAATATAATTATATATTTCCTGAATTAACGCTCCCTATAAGCATGCTCCCGTTAATTTAATAGTTATAAGCCCGGGTGGTAGTAGTAACTAGTAACTTCCTGCTAATCTATTATCTACGTTTATTTTTATATGCTTCTATAGTATTACGGAGCCCTCCTACGCTCTCTCTCCTAATAATAAGCTCTTATTCGCTAAACCCTTACTCGATACTATATCGAATAAGCTCGAGATCACGGCTAAAGCGCTCGGTATCCCGCGCCTTAAATCCACGCGGTAATAGGCCGATTAGATCTTCTATATCTAGTCGTATACGTAAGGGATAGAGGTCTAGGTATTACTCGATCCTAGCTGAAAGGATTAGCTAGATAACCGTCCTAAGTATATTATGCCTAAATCCCTGGATTAACTACGCGAATAGTATTCCTAAGGTAAGGGCGACGATACTATCGTGCCCTCGATATAGGAGCTTATACGCCTCGCCGAAATCGAGAACTAGCAGACTATAGCCTAGAATTAAAAGCTCGGTCGCCTTATTAAGGCGCTCAATAAGGCTAACTAACTACTTAAAACCACCGTGGAGACCTCTACCTATTAATAGGCTGTCGAAGAGGCTATTAAAAAATATCCTGGCTACGATAAGAAAAAATAAAATAGACACTTTACGTTACGCTACGTAATAAAAGAACTTAAGAGTAGCTTCGCTCTAAGTAGTATTTATATAAAGGAAGAGGTAAGACGAGTATACGAAAAGTATCTATAAGACGCTTATCGAGCTAATACTAAAGTGGCTATATAGTATACGGAGTAGAATACCCTTATTAGACGCGTATATTAGTAAAAGGTAGCCGAGATTAAAGGACGTACTGCTATTCGGAACTTCCTTATAGCAGTTAGATAGAAGTTTACGCCTATTTTAGTAGAAACTAAGCTTTAGGAGTTAGTAATAAAAGAGGTCCGTGGCGACGAGATTTCCGATCTTCTAATATACGGCCGCGAGTTTAACGCTATTATAAGCGCTCTAACCACGGACGGCACGCGCCACGGCGTTTACGCGACCCTAGGAGACCGCTTAGATAATAACGAAGGCGGAAAGAAGCCTAAGAAGAAGAGCACTAATTACCCCTATCGACGCGAATATACTTAGAAGCCAGAGCACTATAATAAGCTCGAGTCGCTTTAACCGGAAAATATAAGTAGAGATCTAATACCTATATTAATAATAAGTAGTGTGAGGAGATACGGAAGAAGATTAAGCTCCTAAAGTGAAAGAGCTTACGCTAAAAACTATCGAAAAAGGGATAGGAAAGCTCGGAAAGCAGTAGTAGCAAGGGTGGAGATAGGTATCCTAGGAAGGTTATTATAACTATCCTGGATCCCGCCCTTATCTATACTATAGAAGAGGTCCCTAGGATCTACGCCGCGCTCCGACTAAGCCCTTACCCGCTCTTACAGAGCACTCTTCTTAATAATTATAGCGTAACTTACCTTATTAACTTAATCGACCTGCTTATTCTAGGTTCCTTTATTTCTATAGAGGGATCTATCGAATCCGGTATAACCGACTTTCCGATTATTAGTAAAGGTAAACGGCTTCTTAAGGAAATCCTTAATAAACCTTTAGGTGCTCCGAAAGCTAACTTAGAGCTTAACGATATAGTTATCGTGGAGGGATTTTACATAAATATTATATCGGGAGCTTTATTATATAAGCTTAGGATCTAGTATTCGGGTTATAACTACTCGTTACGCTTTAGAACGGCGGAGAAGAGCGTGGTCTTATTAAAGCTGCTTCGACGCTTTAATATAACTATCCTTTAGTATAAGCTAATTTTATCTTCTTCTTTTTATTCGTTATTCTAACCGATACTACGTAGTGTTATTCTGATTAATTACGACTATTAATATATACTAGTTATAGCAGTTAATCGACTAATAAGAACTTACCGATATTACCGACCTTTCCGCGACCCTCCGCGTCTACGAGTCGACGAAGAATAGCTATAGTACTTAAAAGCAGGCTATCTTAGACTAAGCGCTCTACGAGTATTAGTTCGTAACGCTAGGAACGTATTAATAAAGGGAACTAAGCGGATAGACTACGAGACATGCTCCCGAACCTAGGCACGTTAAGTTATATCTTAATATATATTAGAATACCGCTCCCTATAACCGTTTTAGCGTATTTATTAGGATCTTTAAGAGCTACCTAAGAGCTATAACGGTATACGATATCTTCTCATAATAAAGGACGAATATAGCGGCTGGATCTATATGCTGCCTTTAGCTTCGAAAAACAGCGTTACGGTTTATAGCGCGCTATAAGCCTTCGAATAATAGGTTAATCGGCAGTTTATATTATATATCTATAAGATACGCAGTGATAATAAGCCCTTAATCGTTAATCTAATAGGGGATTTAATAACCTAGCTATAGGCGAGTAGTTAAGGGATCGATATAGAAATTACACCGCCCTATACCTATAAACCGAACGGAGGCAGCGAAAGAGCCGGTTAACTAATTATTATAAAGTCTAACGCTATACTTAATAGAGTAGGAATTCTATTAGATAAATAGCTAGAGAGTACTAGAACGGTAGCGTTATTATATAATATAAGTCCCTTATAGCGATACGGATAGAAATCCCTAGTGGAAATCCTCGACTTATAGTTTAGAGATAATACGCTAATTCCGGTAAGAGAGTATATAGCCGACCTACGCCCTAATTAGAGTGGTATTTATACTTATAGCTGCCGCGCCTATCTAATAGCGAGGGATAGGGAGGCTAGGAAGAATAGGAAACTATATAAGGTTTAACTAAGGGGATATATTAGATATCTTATAGGTTATATTGCCTATAATATTTACCGAGTATAGATTCTATAGCTTTAGAAGGTTATTATAACGCGTAATATATAGTTTAACAAGCAGCTATTTTATAAACTATAGCTCGAAGAAGCAGAATAGATCCCGGAGTCTAAGGCGAGGAACTAGCTTATAACTTATAAAATATAAGAAGATAAAGATAACGACTTTATCCTATAGGCCTACCCTCCGGGTAGATTAATTAATAGCGTACCTTTTAGAGAATAAGTATAGTCTATAGATTTAAACTCGGGGGTAGGAGTAGTAGAGGCTGAATTAGACGCTTCGTCGCTATTACTAGATACACCTAGTATACCCGAACCGCCCGTAACAGGACTTTAAACCCTACGCGTAACACCTAATCCTTAGAGCAGAAATCTTTAGGTTATAAGCGTAGAGCTGTAGTCTTCGGAGGAACTCTTAATTAATAATTCTTCCGACTAATAAGATAACGGAGCGGCTATAAAAGAAGATACCGTAACCGATACGCTAGGATTATATATACTAGAGCTTAATATAGACACTTCGACGATTTTAACTATAGAAAGGAGTGCGTAGGCGATAGTATAGGGACTAGCTACCCCTAATCTGCACTATAGTATTAGCCGTACTATAGTGTCCGGATCTAGACTACCTATCCGACCGACTCCTAATGTAACCGCCTACTAAAGGAAAAAGAGTATACTAGTAAAGGAAGTAACGCGCGCTAGCGTAAGAATCACCGATCGCCGTGCTTAAGGAAAGACTATTCGGATTAATCTACAAATATATTAGGTAGAGCTAGATAAGCCTTTAATATATGTCTTTTTCTTATCTGATTAATAAGAAGAGCGCTAGGACGGGCTAAAAGGGCTTCTAACCTTTAATTTAATAATCCTCGGAGTAGCCGATATTAAAATATATACCCGTTCGAATACTAAAAGAGAGGCTATAACGTTACCGAAGCCCTTAATCGATGGTAGGGTTTATCGCGACCACCTAAAGGCTATACTAAGGTATTAGCGGGAGCTTACTAACTACCTAATACGTGAACGGTTTAAGGAAGCCGCGTAGAAGGAGGTGAATAAGCTAATTAAGAATCGTATATAAAGGGAAATTAAGCGCTTAGAGGCGAAGTTAAAGCCTTTTCCGTTAAAGTGGGTTTTTACCTATAAGTTCGACTAAGACGGATATCTTAAACGATATAAGACACGCTTATATATTCGAGGGGATTTATAGGAGAGCTTAATAATTAAGGGAACCTACGTAGTAACGCTCGCTGCACGATCTTTTTATATTATTATAGCCCTGGCTACTTAGTTTAATCTAGAGATTAAGTAACTTAATATCGTTAACGCCTTCGTTAATACCTAAAGGAGTAAAATAGGAACGTCCGTTATATACGAACTTCTCGATAGATTTAAGTAGCCCGATAAGTGCTTAGAGCTTAATAAAGTACTGTATAGACTACGCGACTCGCCTAGACTATAGTTCTAGACCTTCGCGGCCACCCTAATAGACTTAGGGATAGAGACTAGTAAGGAAGAACCGTGCCTATTCTATACTAAGACTCGAGACGTATTCGTTATCTTCTTTATAGACGATATTCTCGTGTTATTTTATAAAGATAGTGCTATAAACTATAAACGGCCTTAGGATTATCGAAGGGATTAAAATAAGGTTCGAGGTGTCGGAAAAAGGGGAAGCCGATTAGTTTTTAGGTATCAAGATTACTCGAGATCGCCCTCGACGTAAGGTTTTCCTCTCCTACGACTTATATATCGAAAAGATCGTAGCTAGGTTTAAATTAGACGCTCTAAATACCTACCTAGTAATACCTATTCCGGTTATAGAATACCGGAAGAGAGAAGACGAAGCCACCGCTTAAGAGATTAAATCTTATTAAGAAAAGGTCGGATTAGTGCTTTATATAGTAGTTATAATATATCCTAATATAGTATTCGCCGCCTCTATCCTCTCCCGCTTTCTTAGAAACCCCTCTCCCGAGCACTATAAGGCGGCAGACTAAGCTATCCGCTATTTATTTATAATAAAGGACCTCTCGATTTAGTACGGATCGAGTATTAGTTTATAGACGATAGTTATCGTAAGCAACGCCTCTTTTATAGACGATTTAAACACACGAAGATCTTTATAGGGTTACCTTATTAGCTTATATAGTGGATTAGTTATATAGAAAGTAATAAGGTAAGTAACGGTAATAACGTCTATAACCGAAGTAAAGCTACTCGCTTTAGAGTAAGTGGCGAAAGAAATAATAGGTTTAAAGCGTCTTTTCGTCGAAATACGCTTTAATCCAGAATCTCCTTAGAATATCCACTACGATAACACGTAAACGATACGCCTAGTAGTCGACGATAGCTTTAGAATCGAGATTAGGCTTCGCTATATAGATATATAGCGCTTTTAGGTAAGGCAGGAGAATATAAAGGGATTATTCAGAGTCGTATATCTTACTACGAATTTAATACTAGTGGACGGATTAATAAAAGTATTTCCACGATAAAAATTCGAGAACTTCCGAGTATATCTTAATGTAATAAGTGCACGGAGGGGGTGGAAAGAAGCAGTTAAAGTCGAAATTCCCGCGCCCTAGGCGCACCGCGCGCCGGCGGTTTAGTTAATTTAGTAAAAAAGTAGGGTATATCGTTATCCTAATACTATAATACTATACTAGACCCTAAAAGCAAATCCTAAAACCCTAAAAGATACGGTCGGAGCACCCTAGCTAAGTTACTAAGCTCTATTAGCTTTATCCGGAGCACTGTCCTGCGTACTAGCTACGCTAGGCATTATAGTATTTCCTCTAGCAGGAGGAGTAACGATAAACCTATTCTCCCGAAGAATATCTATTATAACCCCCGTGAGTTAGGAGGTAGAAGTGCTACTCGAAGTAGCGGCAGGAAGCTAGTTAGATACTCCCTTAAGTTCTTCCTTACGGAAGAACTTCTTATTATCCTCGTCCTCTATTAACTTAATAATGAATTTCACCGTTTACTTAAGTTTAGCGAAAAACTGCGCGAAACTAGTTAGTTAGAGCGTTTAAGTTCGGAGATAAAGCGATAAACGCACCTTTTTATCGTTATCGTCGGAGTCCTTATTAATTTTTCGGACTATAATATAGTTAAACAGAATTTTAACTAACGACATAAGGCTAGAAAAACTATAAGTATAGGTTAGCGGTCGTAAAGCTTAACAGCGTATACATCTTTAAGCTAATATAAAACAGAGCACACGATCACGATTATAAAGCGCCTTAGATAAGGGGTAAGAACTTATAGAGGGTAGTATATATAGTTTCTATCCTTACACTTTTAGCACCTATTAGAGCGCCCAGGAACGGAAATATAGTAATTAAAGGAGCGCTATTTTCTAGAATAAATACCCTTTACATACTCTAAATAAGGAGGATCGAAAGAGATAGGAACGAAGTCATCGTTAGTATCCTTATTATTATTATTATTACTGCCCTTAGCAGTCTATAGAGGAATTAGCTAAGGACTAGAGTAAACGGATCGAAAATAAACGCGCCGGAATAACTTATAGAAGCACCCTTCTTAGTATCGGCCTTACCCTTGGTCTTCTTCACACTATTAGCCGAGGCTTTCTTAGCTGCCGCGGCACGGGTAACGGCCGAGAGGGTAGGAGGAGCCTAAACAACGCTACTAGTTAGCACGCGCCACTAAAAATAAAGCTCCGATACTCACTATATCGCTATTATTATTGTTTTTGTTGCTGTTAATGGAAAATTCGGAAAAATTAGTTTAAAATCGTTAAAAAATCCTCGAAAAAACAACGGCACGAGAGGTTATAAGAGGGAAGATCCAAAAGCTCTAAAACGCCGGCATAACGCCTTTAATTTATCTACGGAAGGTCCCACTATCATCTATTTACTACTACTATTAATAGCACTTTTTCTTTATTATTTACTACTATTATTATTATTCTTTACTATTTTATAGCTTTTATTCCTGCCTTTTAACTCGATATTAAGGGTATCACACGACCCTTTAAGGCTATTTTAAGGTTAAAAATAAGGCTAGGTTAA